AAACTAGTTAAAGTGCATTACCGCCACCAACTGATAAGGAGTAAAACGAGGAAACAGGAAGACTCACCCCAGCAAAAAAAATTTAATTAATGAATAATATTTTTTTTGAACTGTTTAATTTAACCCGACATAATAAATAATCAAATTTGCCCTCAAAATTTCTCATACATCTTTAAGTTATCATCACTCTTCCAGTTTCTCATGGTCCTACTCGTTTTCCCATCATGCTTTCAACCATTTCCCAGTTTAAATCTTTCACTTCAAGGAACTTTTCTCCAGCTTTCGCTATTATTTTGATTATTTTTCAGTTTTCTTTGTCATCTGAGCACTACAACTGGTCACTTCTACCATGAAAAGAACAAAATCTTTCTTTTTTACAAATAATGAATCTTCTGCAATTTTTGGACACCGCTCCAGAGATGTTGAACTTGTCATTTCACTTTTCTCATCTCTTCAGATCTTTTGCTCACTTCACAACCTCAATACGCAGCAGTATGTTCTCCAACACAGTTGCAGCATTTAATCTTTACCTTCCCCATCGTTGTTTGTCCTTACATACTGCTGCTATATGTCCAAATTTTTGGCATTTGAAGCATCTCGGAGGTAGAGGATTGTACATTTTGACATTGTAGCTCATATAACCAATAAAAACCTTACTGGGTAATTGCTCCTCAAATTTGAATAACACCTCTTTTACTTTTGCACACATATTTTCTAGAATCTGTTTATCAGTTATTTTAGAGGCACTCCTCCAATGACTCTTCTGCAAATCCTTTTGTTCTCCACCATGTTGCACTGAACTCTTTCCCCTCAATCTTGTTAAATCGCATGGCTTTGCCTTGCTGAGGCTCTCTCTGCAGTTTATTAACAAGTCTACAGTATTCTGGCACTTCGGACTTCTCCTACAAGTTTATTGATTTTGTTAACTGATCTGGATTCCAATTTGCAAAAGACTCCCTGATTAACTAGTTAGAATATGACTTTGTAATCATTTTGTTTTCCTGTGAAACTTCTAGATTGTTAATTTCTTGACTGTTCTTAACTGAATTCCCCTTCAATTGATCTCTGCTCTCTTCCAAACGTCTTCATTTTCACTATTTCCTTCTTCCATCCGAGCAGAATCACTTCCTGTTTCCTCGATACTCACGACCCAGGACATTTCTCTATAATGCACAAACACGCTTCCTCCCGTCTCCACAGCGGCCCCTAATCCTAACTCTTTTTTTTTTTTTCCTAAGGTCATTTCTTTTCTGGATCTGATGCGGTACTGCACAGGTGTGTGCCTCCAGATCGCCTCCCACCTGCGCATCCGAGTCTTCAGCATCACACCGCAGGGCAACGCCCACCAGGACTGACGGCTTGCCCGGCGGGAGGAGGCGGAGGGAGACGCAGATCTCGCTCCGCTTCTGAAAGCAGACGTCCAACACGAGGAAAGACCCTTGACCCCGAGCCACTGCAGCCTTGACAAAGTAACCACCTCTAATTAAAAACTGCCTCACTCATAATGAAAAAAAGAACAAACCAACCCAACATTTTAAACCAAAAAAAGGAAAAAAAAATCGCTTAAAAAGCTGTTCAACGGAGAATTGAGTGGAAATAAGTTGTTTTAAACTCTTAACTGCTGAAACCAATCACATTTTAAGTGAAAATGGTGCATGTTCATTTTTTCTCAACCAAAATACCAAATGTTTTTAATCTTATCAAATAATTATTTGAAATTTTTTTTTTTATTCTCCACGGATTAGATAAATTTAAGTGATTTATTTTTTTTCCCCTAAATGCAACCCATTGTAATTGTATTTATTTAGTGTCTCAAAGTGACAAAAATCAGGGATTTTATTGGGAATACTTAAAATTTCCAACAAAATCTAATTAGGTTTCCAATATAAAGGTGGTGGTTGTCAAGGAGTTTGTGAAGGGGTAAGAGTCACGTGTTGATGCTGAAAATGACGACAGGTCTTCTAGGTTGTTCTACAGACTTCACTCTTATTTAAAGGGAATTAACTTTTTCATTAGTCATTCTTGAAACATCCGTACTTAGAGTGCTGTCGATTTGTGAAGCGTCAACACCAGACTTGTTCTGCTTTCTCATTTCTTCTCCCTAAAGGGCTAATTATGTATGATTGTACAGAAGTCAACTGAATACGCCTTAAATACTTTTGTTTGTAATTATTTTACTTGTTAGTATTTAAAGCAGATTTTTGTGTTTTTTTCTTCTCAGATGTTTTGTTTTTCCACTAAGGTTTATCAGGTACAGCAATAGTTACAGGTCTACTGGAACATTTTAAGGGTTTTATTCTAAACTGTTCACCCACATGAGTGAATTTCATTTTGGTGTGATTTGTTTGGTAAAGTGAACATGAAATATTGTACTTTGACACATAATTTAGGTAGGCTGGGATCAGAAGGGAAATTTCCAGAAACGGATTTTAGTTTGAAAAAAAAGTTCATCTCACATTGGGCTTTTACACTATTGCAGGCCACTAAAAAGAAACGTGGTATTAACACTATTTTGCGTGATTTCCAGATGAATGTTTGAACTATGCATTAACGTGATTTGATTCCAATCGCCTCATTGTACCGTTCAGTAATGCAGTTAGGCATTTCTAATAACAGATGTGAATGAAAAGATTGTAATAAAGATCATATTTTTCATCGTGTTTACTGGTGCTGTCCATGGTGGGGAATTACCGCACTAAAAGCTCTTGTTCTGTCACGGGTTATATTCTTATTGGTTTCCTTCATGTGTCATTTTTATGCAGAGTTTAGCATGGGTAGTTTGGCTGATTTTCTATTCATTTACAACTCAAAGTTAATTCTTTCAAGTCTAGACCTGCAGGGTTTGTCTACAAGTCAATGGGGTACCGAGCTGCTTATTATGTATTTAACCTTTCTTACAAATCTTAGTGCAAAAGTTAGCAAAGTTTCTCTAATCCACAGAGTTATATTTAGAGATTTTGTCCTAAATGCATGCACACACTTGCCAAAAAACAGTCTACTATTAAGCCACTAGGTCATTTGTTACTGTATTTGGGACGGTCACCTCTAATAAATGGAAGGCATTTGGATCAGAATTGCATAAAATAAAAAATCCCATCTAGTTTAAAATGAAAATGGTTAATACGTATTGATTTGTTGCCAAATTGAGGAATAGTATGTAATGAATAGCATGGTGCCCCAGTGGGTAGCACTGTTGCCTTGCAGCAAGAAGGTTCTGGGTTCGAATCCCGGCCCAGTCTTTCTACATGGAGTCTGCATGTTCTCCCTGTGCATGTGTGGGTTCTCTCGAGACACTAAAGCTGCATCCCACCGTCCAAAAATACGTCTGTTAGGTTAATTGGCTTCTCTAAACTGTCCTTGGTGTAAATGTGTGTGTGTGTGCATGGCTGTCTGTCCCTGTGTTGCCCTGTGACCGACCGCGACCTTTCCAGGGTGGACTTCCGGAGATACGCGCTGGCCCCACTGCAACCCTGACAAGGACTAAGAGAGTGAAAATGGATGGATATAAGGAAGAGATGAGCACGGAGGAGGCAGCTTCATGCCAAGGGTTCGTTGTGTGGTACTAGTGCATTATACAAAGCAGCTGAAGAAATAAAGCTTAACTTCACAGCAGGTAGATGGTTGAAACTAAAGTATTTTATGCTTTTTTTTTTGTACTATATGTAGTAGTTTTAGATTGTCTGTTGTATTTTTAATTGCATCTTGCTTTAACTCTTTGCACTCTATATAAAGTACTGGAAATGTCCCTGAATGAGTAATCCGAAGGGATAAATAAAGTTGATTCTAAATCTAAAGACAGAACATCTAGAAGCCTCTGGAATCAGCTGTAATGGAAGGTTTATGGACAAATTTCAAAGAAACGTCTGAGCTGCAGAACCAAACTATTTAAATTAACTTCTCCATTTCTCATAAGAGCTGATAAATATCCAGAATAATGGTGTAATGTTACTTTAGCCAAACATTAATGGTAGCAGTTGTGCCTATTTGAGCCCAGAAAAATAACGTTAACCTGTAATTTAGTTCAATCTAAAATCAGTCGGCTTAATGTGTAAATCACGACTTATATTTTAATAAAGATTTAATTAAAGAAAAAAAATAAACCCCTGTTGCCATAGAAAATAAAATATACCAAATGTATGTAACATTTATGCTAACGATGATTGAATGAATTTGATCAAATATCCTAAAAACTCCAAGAATTAAAATCTTTTGTTTTATTAAAAACTCTTATTTAAAATATTTCAAGAAATATAATTTATAAGATTGATGTAGGTTTTTTTAAAGAAGGCCCAAATGAAACATTACGATGACTGAACTGATAAAAATTTATTTAAAGTTGACAAAACACTGACTGAAGGGGAGGAGCAGTCCTGTTCCCCAATATTGTTCTTAAGAGTCTAAAAAACCGGATGAAAAATAAACCTTCAGGCTTTGAACCTATGGAGAATTTGATAAAACCATGATACATTTAGCTTTTCAACCTTTAGGGGGAAAAAATACTTTGGGGAAATGAGTAACACTGAGGAAATTGGTCCCTGGAAGAGAGGGAAATACTTGGCATAAATCAAAAAGCATTCCAAATTCACAAGTCACCCCAAATGAGCTGTGAAGCATGGAGGTGGGAGTATGGTGAAGGTTTGGGGATGAATTACGTTTCAGAGGTTAGTCAGGAAACTGAGACAATCTGCATGTTACAGGTTCTGTAATCCAGACTGCTGCTCAAATGAACCATCAGAGAGTTGGAACAGATGCTGAACGACTTAGAAGACATTACCAACCGACAGATGAGTCACAATAACAGCAAGAATAAGTTAGAAACATGCTGAGGGGGTCTGAATGTCAGACAGCAGCGAGCCTGCAGAGTCCCACAGAGACACACCTGCAGGAGCCTGTGAAGCTGTGGAGTTTTCACACATTACGACCGCACACAGTATCCATATGGTCTGGTGAGTCCCAAAAAATGTTCAACTCTGGCAGAAATAAGCAACAAAGGCACTTCGTTTTTTTTTTTCAAGACGACAAAAGGAACGTTTAACATCTCTCCTTAAACTCTGTAAAACCAGTTCTTTCTTTCAACATGTAAGATTTTCCTTTCCCGTTCCTGGCAGGAAAGCTGACATCTTTTTAAACACAAAAATATAATTAACTTACAAAAAAAAAAAATACAACAAACATTTAAGAAGTTCGTACCGTTATAAAATACAGATGCGCTCTGAGTGTCTTATTATAACACAACCTAACAGTACATTCTTCAGGGTCGATGTGATGCCAGGAGTGTTTTTCCTCTTCTAATCCCTTAGTGAAGGAAAATTCAATTTCCAGCACTTTTCTTTAATTGATTATTTTCTTCTGGCTGTAGTAACTTTCTGCACGTCCATCATTCAAGTCTCCAGATGTCTAAACTGTGCAGTCCAGACTGATTATGTCCATGTCTGGGTCCATTCTTGTCCTCTCCAGAGGAGGAAGAGAGAAGGATTGAAGGACGACTTCCAGAAAAGACAGTTTTTCCTCTTTTATACTCGCTCTGGGTTGCTGTCCTTATTGACTTTGCGTCTGGGGAACAGTTTTCGCTTCAGCTGGATTAGCTGAGGCAGGAGGAAGAGTGAGAAGAAATTCAAAAAGGGCAAAAATAATTACTGGGTGTAAATCAAAGTATGGAAATATAAAAAAATCTAAAGTCACTAAAATAGAGACACAGACATATTTCCTTTCAACTGTTATTTAAACTGACATTTAAAGCTGATTTATTTAGTGAAACGTTCACAGGTAAAGGCAGCCAGAACCACATCTTAAACAACTTCCACCGTGTTTCACTATAGTTTAGATGTTATTTTTGCAGTAGGGTTGATTTTCTAAAATAAACACTCCGAACGAACCTGAATGTAAAACTACTGCAGAAAATGTCATTTAGATTAAACATTTAGTTTAATCTTAACACTTGTGTTATGCTTTAAGTTTTCTTTTTAAAGTTATCAACAATTTAAAAAGATTTCAAGGTGTTTTTATGGCATTTAAGAAAAAAAGGTTTAAATTACAGGCTAACCCAGATTAACAAAACAGATGACTCTTCATAGGGAAATGCTAGACTTCATCATTTAAGACATTTTTTCATTGTCTTTATAAAATATTAAACAGAAAAAAAACACAAATATTCTTCTGTTAATTACACCCACTAATTCAAACAAAATAAACAGACACAAACAGGACAACTGATTCTGTAGTTATTCAGCAGCGAGCATTGAGATCACATGCAGAGCATGCATAATGTGTTTATACATTTTTAGTTGACATTCAGACATGCATGACTTTTTTTATCCTTGTGTCATTTTTAATCATTTAAATGGAGGAAGAGAGGCAATATTGGCTGCAAACATTTGCCCCCTAAGACGATCGGTATCGACCTGAGAATAGGATTTGAACCCAGAACTTTGATGCTGCAATGTCAGTGTTCTACTAACTGACAGACAGCAGGTGGGCTTTAAAGGGGAACACCATTTTTTTTTTTATTATTATTATTATTTTTTTTTTACATTGGGCCCTTGATTTTACATTATTACATCATGTTCTACTCACCCATATGAGTTTTGTATCATTTGGAGCTGTTCTGAAGATATTCCGTTAGGTTATATCTAAGTAACGTATTCCTATGGGCAACGCGTAGAAGGCACAAACTAAACAGTTCATAATTTATTCTTTATGGTACGCCAGCATTCATAACATGTAGGCGAATCACTGTCCCCCAGACATCCGCGGTTATATTTTTTTATATTTATATTTTGCGTGTATGACGTCATCCGCGCGCCAGACTGGAGTTGTGACAGGCAGCTCGGGCAACAGGCGGCTACGCTCTACCCCTTCTATTCATTCTAGCTAATCTGAATCGTTTAATTGCGTTTTGAGAGCGAGATCATCTGTGGTAGTAGCACTAGACATCTTTCAGGGATGTGAGTAAAACTAGCAGCAGTTCAGCGGACAGGATGAATGAATAGTAGCCGGAACACGCGGATGACGTCATACACACTCCACTTTGTTTAAAAAAAAAATAAATATAAAAAATATAACCAAAAATGTCTGGGGGACAGGGAATCGCCTACATGTCATGAATGCTGGCGTACTATAAAGAATAAATTATGAACAGTTTAGTTTGTGCCTTCAAGTCGTTGGAAGATGTTACTTGGATTACAAAACCGAGAATATTCTGAACGGCTCCAAATGACACAAGACTAATATGGGTGAGTAGAACATGATGTAATAACGTAAAATCAAGGGCCCAATGTAAAAAAAAACATGTTGTTCCCCTTTAAGTTTATAATCTGCTGGAGGAAAGGAAGGAAGCTGGACCCAAGGTGGAAAGGAAGGAAGGACACAAGGAAACAAGGAAAGAGGGAGTCATGGAAGACAGGTGAACAAATGGAAAAATACAGTGATGAGACAACGGGTGAAGGAAATGCATGAAGGGAAGGAGGACATGATGGGAAAGAAAGGGCATGGGAAAGGGAGACAGGAAGACAGGAGAAAAGGAGGTAGGATAGATGGAAAAGCCTCCAGGAAGAACAAAAGAAGCAAAGACATGAGGAAGGTAGGTAGAGGTAGGTTTTAACCCTATAATGCCAAATGTATCGTATTTGATACAAACGATTTCTGAAATGTTTTGCATCTGACACCTTTTGCATAATTTAATGGTAAAAACTTTGCTCAAAATCCTATTGTACACAATCAGATATGACTACACAAAAAATAATCTTGACTTATCGCATAGTAATAAATTATTAATATCAAAAATGTATTTCTGTTTTTTCCTTTTTACATATTTTGTTAAAAGGCCAAATAAGGACTTCAAACCAAAATAAAGTAATTTTCTGTTTTGTTTTATTCTTGGATCAGGCTTTGAAGGGTTAAAAGAAAAGAAGGAAGGATGGAAGGAGACGAAGGTCTGAAGGAAGAGAGGGAAAAAAGCCATAAGGATGGGAGAGAATGAAAGGATGAACAGGAAAATATGGTAGGATATAATGAAGGAAAAACAAAGATAAAGAGAAGGATGAGGGAATGAATTAAGGGACGTAGGACACAAGCAAAGTAGGAAATAAGGAAGGATAGATAGAAGGAGAGACTACATTTAGAGCCTGAAGTAATCTCTAATGAGCAAGGCATCCTTTGGTCATCTTCTCATAACTGTACCTTTTCCAAGACGGCAAGAAAACCAGACTTGTCTGCTGCCAAAGGGTCATTAGCGGTCCCATGATGGATACTCTGATCTAGTTTAACACATTCCTCAGTGGGAGCACTGGTCCCAGTGGGATGATGGGACAGATTTTCCTGAGGTCATTTTAACAAGTAACCTTTTCTTAGGTTCGCTGAGGAGAAACTAAAAACCTCTGGATTAGAGCAGAGGGTCTCAAAGGCTGCTTGAATTTCCTTTATTAGGTTTCCTGCCCTTAACTGGAAAACAGCCGTAAGACTTTGCTCATCCTAAACATCCAACCATCTCGGCAACAAAGACGCCTAAAATAAATCAAAGTGCAGACCATTCCAGATCTACAAAGGCGTTTTGGGTCTCGCCTTTCACAGAGGATGGCCGCGGGTCTTTGATTTCTGTCAAGTCAGGTCCTGGCCTCCGCTGATCATTCCGCCCTGACATTTGAGCTCAGAGTAAAGTTTTGAACAGAAGGTCTGAATCATAGCACAAGCATGAATCATGGAAATAAAGATGCGGAGAAGGAAAGGCGCGTGTTTTTATTTGAATGTGAGGGGGCGGTCCGAGGTGGGAACTGACCTGCTCAGCGAAGAAGGACATAACGGTGAAGACGACCAGAGTCACGAGGACACAGTGGGTCCAGAACTTCAGCTTGTCTCTGTACACCCGCCTGGAAAACAGCAAGTTTCTAGGAGTTAGTGCCTTTTCCTTCTTCCTGTATCAAACTGATCTGTAACTCTAACGAGGTTTCCAGACCCACAGCAGCCTGGATCCTCTACCGTACATGAGTCGCATCTACTGTGAACTAGGGCTGCAACTAAAGATTATTTGGCAAATCGATTAATCTGTCAATTATTTCTTAAATTAACTGATTAAAAATCCGATAGCCAAAGGTTCCTTAAAGAAGAGTTTTTGCTACATTAAACCAGGTGAAACTAAAACTTCTATCAGCTAAAGGCATGTTTTACAGTCTCTACACTCCAGTTAATGATTAATCGATTATCAAAGTAGTTTATGATTATTTCAATAATTGCTTAAGCGCGATTAATCTGATTAATTGTATCAGCTCTACAGTGAACACAGATTTCCTGACCTGTAAAGCACTTTAATGGTGTGTTCTCTCGTCTTTATCATATTAAAGATTGACTAAGAGAAACAGGCCTCTATGTTGTTTCATATTTATATGGTGAACTGGTTCATTCCTACCCACTAAATGTTCTTTATGCAGTTTAAGAAACCAAACCAATTAAATAAACACTTAAACTGAGGTTCTTGATTTTGCAGAGTGCTATTAAGGAGCTGCCATTTCAAAAATATTTATTTTAGAGATTTGTTTTAATGCAACATGATCTTTGTGCCGTGTGCAGCGGCTATCCATCTAAACCCGCTCGGTCTAAATTAGAGTCTCTATTCAGAGCTGGTATCTCTGACAACATGGGCAAAGATCCCTGACAAGAAGCCTTACAGCGTCAGGGCAAGATTCCCACAGCTTCTACATGGTAACCCTTGATCAAAGTGACGACAGACGTAAATTCTTCACTTAATAATCAGCTCATATACAGTGAGGACTTTTTAATGCATTCATAAATCAGCTCATCAAGAAAAAAGGGCTGCAAAATACAACAGTCATCAACCAGAAGTGCTACAACTACTTCTTTACTTTACTTCAATTACACATTTATAGTGCAGTTTACCTTTTGCAGAAGGTTTGAGCATTTTAAGGTATTTATTTTACATTTTTACCGATACACATGCACACGGAAGAGGATTAGGGCCACTGAAAAAGAAAAAAAAAGTGAACTGATTTTTACTTTTTATTTCAGTTTAATATAGGAATCAGAATCCGGACTTTAATCTCAGAATCTCTGACAGCTAACAAACATGTTAGCAGCAAGCCATATGTCTGTTTTAGAGACTAGCTCTCTTGTTTTAATGACCTTCTGCTCCTCCATTAATGAGGGGACCCCTCAGGCACATAAAAAGTTGCCTAATTCCGTAATTTTCCACCAATGTGTCACTGGCCACCTCAAACAACTCACATCTTTGTCAGTGAAGCTGAGAGCTCCCACATCTCTTCCTTCATGGTGCCCATCTATAACCTGACAACAGCCAGATGCATGTCTCGCTCCGCCTAGCTCCACTCACATACATCTGAGAACCCGCCATAGGAATTGCCTTTACTGAAGGCTAGGCCTTATCAAAACTCCTTGCATATGATTGCATAAGCCACTTGTCTGTCATCTTTATTGACGTGCTATTTCAACCACTCACACCGAAGCTAACCCGTGACGCTGTGAGAGGAGCAGCCATTTGGTAGATCAAGCTCTTGCCAAATCCGGTCGGGAGAAGGGCGAAAACATCGTTTCCCCCAACAAAAGCCTTCAAAGCCGTTCTCTGATGTTCTTTTAATGAAACAATATCAGATAGATTAGACAACACAGAAGAAATAGCAGCATCAATGCTAACGCTTGCTTCCTCGATGCGAGCCGCCATTGTTGTTGGAATATCACGATCGCTTCTCCACTCCAGGACACACCCGCCCTGCGTCCTGATTGGACAGACCATAAATTCGGTTGGGGAAATCACTTTCAATGAGCGGGTTCCCAGATGTATGTGAGTGGAGCTGGGCGGAGCGAGACATGCATCTGGCTGTTGTCAGGTTAGCCCATCTACACTAAGATCCAAAATTCTGAGAAAAGTCAGAATTCTGAGATTAAAGTCAGAATTCTGACTTTTTTCCCCATACTTTACTGAAATAAAATTAAAAATTAAAAAATCAGTTAAAGGGACACTATGCAACATTTTTCAGTTAATTAATGTGTTCCATAACATTATGGATGACTAAATGAGTCATTTCAGGTTGAACAAAGGTATTCTCGGCCGCCCTGTAGGTCTGTGGGGGAAATACTGCACTTGCAACTGCAGGAGCACCGACCCGCACCCACAGGCTCAGAAGTCTCGTGAGAGTCAGTCTTGCTTTACGGCGAGAACTGCTACACCCCCCAGTTAAAAGCATTCTCGTTGCTAGCACAGTGGCAATCTTTGTGCAGTTATGCTACGTTCACGCAGCAAAAGCAGCAAAATCGCATCTGCTGCTTCATTTTTGCTGCTTGTACCAGTTAGTTCTGACGCGAGGCTGAAGCAGCTTTGCTGCTCTGGCTGCAAAAGTGTGTCTGAGGCGCGTTGGGCGGAGCTTCACTATCCTTTCTCTGCCTTGCAGCTATATTTGCTGTGATCAGTGGGAATAAAGTAGTTTTAATATGTGTTTAAGTGAGAAAATACACCTGAAAACGTAATCAGTGCAGTCAGTTCATTCAGATTATTATCCTGCCTTCAATATTTTTTCTGTCGGAGCCGCTCAGACCCCCACATACCAGGGATGCGCCGACAGTATGGATCCCTTCATCAGCAGCGGTTCACCGCGGCAGCTGGTAGGTGTTTTTCATCTAAATAATCCAAACTGCATATTCTGCCGGCAGATTTCTGCATTTTAAGTTAATTTAGGCGTCAATAAACTGTTTAAGAGCAGTGATCATCAGCGCTGTGTCTCTCTCCCTGTCTCTCACCCGACGCGCTGCTGCAGCCGCTCAGACATGCTGCGCCTGCAGCTCAAAACGCGCCGCGGGACCTTTGCATGTAAACTCGCTGCTTCTGTCGCGCCAGCTACATCCAGTGTGAACGCAGCGTTAGTCATTCGCTGCTAAGCTCAAAACAACCGCGCCTGGCTTGACGGAGAAACCAGGAGAACAGCTGAGCATATTTACGACAGTGCACTTTTACTTTCGCCCTCTGGAGGGAGCCTCACTGGAAAATCAACACTGGTTGCATAGTGTACCTTTAACTTTTCTTTTTTTCCAGTGGCCCTAATCCTCTTCCGTATTAGCATGAGTTTTTATTGTTGCAAAAGTTAGATTTAGATTTGCACATTTCAGTTCTTTTTTGCACCTTAAATTTCTGCAGTTTGCATATTAAAGTTTGCACACCTTATAACGCCATTTACAACTTTCATATTCCAATTTTAAAATCTTATTTTTCCATTTTGTGATTAATAAAACCGATTTTATTAATTTATTTTGTATCATTTGGAACTGAGACAAACAGCCATTAGATTTATCATATAAAGGAAGGCTTTTAACCAAACATCTCGATTTAATGGATTTGCTTGGAAAGAAAGAAATCAGTCTATGATTAAATAACTTTACAGTATCTCCCTCATTTAAGTTTACATTAAAATAAAAAAAATCTGCATATATAATAAAAATGAAAATTATTTTCCTGTATTAGAAAACAACAATTCTGAAATTCTGCAGAGATTTTAACACTAGGGAATCTTGTTTTTAAGGTCAAATTCGTAAAAATAACGTCAAACATTCATTTTTGAATGGCAGTCAGTAGGGCTCCATTTATCTAAAAAGGCCCATTAAAAACAAAAAAGGAATAATAAAAAAAGAGAAATGTTCAGAGATTCAGGAGCTAAACTTTCTCACTAGGGAGAACATCAACAACTAAAAGTATAAATTTGAGGTTTTGAGTAACTAGATGCAAAAATGTATTTTTGATTGTGGTTTTAAAAGGAAGCAAGATTAAGTTATGTTTGATAAACTAGTCTTAGCCACAAATTTCAACATTATATTGCAAGGCTTTGTGCAAACAGCTGCTCACAGTATGAAAACCTACCAGTCCTGGAGCTCCTCCATATGCAGGAATCTGTTGCGGTACTCTCTGGGAAGCTCAAACTGGGATGGCAGTGGGAACATGGACTCGTAGAAATCTCTCAGCACGGCTTTCACAGTAGGAGCGTCTTTGTGGCTGTGATCAATGTTATCGTTCAGACAGATGAACTTCCTGTTGGGGAAAAAAAAAAAAAAAAAAAAGAGATGTTTCGACATCTTTAGCCCAGTGTAGAAACCACAGATAGAGAAAAAAATAATGCTGGGGAAGAATAAAAAAATGTAAAAACTAAGGCAGGATTTAGCAAATGAAAGAACGAAAATACTGCCTAGAAAATAAAATTTTTGTTTTTTTTTTGGCATTGTTTTCTAGATCTGAGAAATAATTGAAACTGCATAGGACTGACTGAATTTTCAACTTAAAAATGAAGCTCCGGACATCAGTCATCTCACCTGGAACGCCTCCATATTCACAGGTTTTTATCCGTATATAAAAATGCATTAAGCTAGCTGTAAGTTCTTATAGCTAGTAATAAAAACAACCCTAAACACAACATCCACACAGTGGTGGCTGCATCATGCTGTGGGGGATTTTTCTTTGGCGTGTGGAGGCACATTGAACCTTCACCGAGTCAGCAGAGGCGTGCTGGAAGTTAGCTACATGCTAGTGTCTTGCAAAAGTTGCAGAGCAGCTGAATTTATACTGAGATTGCAACAAAAATGGCTCGATTCTGTTTGATATTAGATTTTAAAACAGATGCATTTGATTTTATTTCGAGGTTTTAAAGAAAGGGGAGCTAAACTTCTCACCTGGGATTCTTCCTGATGTCGTCCAGCTGGCCGACCACGTGGGACACGTTGGTCCGCACCATCTTGAAAGCAATCTCCTCCTCTCCCATGATCTCAAACCTGCAAAGGAAGTTACATCCTTTCACCATTTCAGAACAAATACATATCTGAATGAGATGAATTTAGAGATTATTAGCTCACTTGTATTTGTTCTGATCTTTGAAGGCTTTATGGATCTTCTCTGTGATTGGCTTGCAGTGGAGAACCAGGCTTTTGGTGACTGGAGGCTGCAGATATCAGGTTAAATAGACCTAATGAATCACTTTTATGTGTTTTTATCAGGATAAATGTTTTAAATTGTCAATAACTCACCATGAAGCGATCAAAATAAGTCTCCTGAGTGGGGCTCACCAGGTGGAGACGAGTCAGTTCAGTCGGGAGTGTTTTAGAGCAGTTTATCAGCATCTGCTCTAAACCAGTCAGGTCCTACATTTGACATCAAAGATATAAAAAACTGAAAACTGAAGCGGATTTTAAAGAATATAAAAACGGATCTTAAGACCGACCTGCAGGTTGAGGGGAAGCTCGTGGATCCTAGTGGCCAGAGTTCGGATCTCTCGGTCTGATAAGATGCCCGAGTGGTCGGTGTCGACCTCATCGAACACTTCTGAGACGTTGAGCTGCTGCTGCGCGCTCATCAGGAAGTAAAAGTAGGAGAAGGCGAACTGCATGTCCTCGGAGTGTCGAACGCGGTGGCCTGAGGTTTTGTCAAACTCTTCCGGAAATCTGAAAGAAGCAGTTCAGCCTCGATTAAAGAGCTAAAACTGTTAAAAGATAAATTCCCGGAATGAACGGAAGTAAGCCTCACGTGTCGTGAAGCTCCTGCATGACCAGACGGTCGATCATGTGCGGCATGTGGGCGGGGACTTTGCGCGACGTGAAGCCGAACTGGCCGTTAAGCAGCTTGTTGACGTATCGCAACGAGTCGGCGAAGGTGTCCTGCAGCTTTCGCCCCGTTGCTGCACCGTCGGTCCTGTAGGACAGCTCTCTCTGCAGACGCTCCTCCTCCTGGGAAAGTCAAAACATGTTATTAAAATTATTTCTCTTCGGAGTTAAATCCAAAAAAACAATAAGAAGGAAAGTTTTGGATTTGCTAACCTCAATCAAAGCCTGGAAATACTTCCTTCTCTCCCACGGCAGAAAGCCTCGGTCTGAGGAGGTGAAGTGCTGGAGCTTCCTCCCTACGGCTGGAGGCAGCTCGGCTGGAACCTCCTCGCTCTTTTTCTGGGAGTCGTTGCTGCGAAGTTTGGATGTTCTGGGCCGTTCGATGACAGGGTTCAGAGGATGACGTTCAGGACTTAGAAGGCTTTTTATTTTATCATCAATGCGGAGCGGGATGACAGACGGAGGAGCTTTATTTTCCACAGACTCCTTTCCCTTTTTCGGATGAGAGTTTTGATTTTCCTGCATCTCATTTTGTCCTCCGTTACCCTCCAGGTCTTTATAAGGCCTCATCTGGACTTGTGGCAGATCCCTGATGTCCCGAGGCTTCTCAGTCTGAGTACGATACGGTTTTAGAAGTTCAGCCTTGGTGAGATTGTAACCCTTCACTGTGATGTCACCGATCAGTAGTTTTTCTTTCAATCTTTCCAGCTCCTTTCGCACAACAGCTGGTAAGGCTGATACATTAACTAAAGGAACCTGGATGAGATCCTCGGAGACAGCAGGCTGGTTCTTCTGGATCTTAGGCCCTCGTTTTTCTTCAGGAATATCTGAGAAAGGGAATACTGGCTCTGGCGTCGGGGTGACTTTGGCCTCCTCTCCTGTGTCTTTGCTCCCAGCCCTGGAAGCATTAGTCTGAGGAAGCTCACGCGTATCGACAGTGACGTTGAAGCACATTGTGAACTGAGTGTCGTCCTCCCTCTGGAAGGTGATGTTGTACTGGACCTGGGTAGCGTTGTGGCCAGGATAGAGCAGCAGGTGAATGGTTTTCCACTTGTTGGCGACAGACGTGTGTAGGACCACGGGGTTGTCCCTGACGTGGGCCTCGGAGATTCTGCGGGCCAGTTTGTGGAAGCTGAAATAGGGCCTGGTCTCGCCGACAGGCAGGGTGTAGAGGCTCTGGTTTCTGAGCAGGGTCACATGGTGAAGCTCGCCGAAGTGCTCTGAAAAGGCAGACATAGTTTTTCTTTATCTTTTTTTACATAAACGTACAAGAAGTTATCGTTATCACGACTGTACCTTGGCCACAGTCTCCCACGTCAAAGCCGCAGGAGATCACGTTGCAGGCCTGATCGCAGAATTTGTCCGCTAGCCATGAGTTGGCGCAGCCCTGATTGCAATACGACGTCCCCCCAATTCCTCCAAGCCCGCCCCCTATCTGCCACACGGCTCCACCGGCTCCTCCGGGGCCCACCCCTCCCACGCCTGCAGGGAAGCGGTTGTTTCCTGCTGTGCCTGTCGTAGAGAATCAACCCCGTTAAACTTTAAAATCGCTTATTTACACAAAGACAACAGAGTCTGCTTCCCCACCGAGGCAGTCTCCTCCGTCCCAGTCACAGGCAGAGTTGTTACAGGCCTTGTCACAGTATCCATCTTTGATCCAGGATCCTGGGCAGCCTTCGGCACAGTTAGGAACTGGCCAGGTCAGATACACCTGAAAGCGAAGGGGTGAAGTTAAGCTTTGAAACAATAAACCACAGGTTTCGGTTTTTCTGTCTCTACAGACCTTCTGCCCTTTGGAATGGCTGTAGAAGTCGTCTGGCCAAACGTCTTTCCCAAACATCACGTCATCGTTGAGGTAAATGAACTTCTGAGAGAGTCCCGGGATACGATGGATGTGCGTTTCGATGGCAGGAGAGCTGAAAGTGGGAAGGTGGGAGCGGTTCAAGAAAATATCCTGAAAGACAGAGAAGGGGTTGGGTTATTTAGGTCATTCATTTATCATCTGAACTAAGCTTCAGAGGGGGAGGCTTGCCTGATGCGACACCACCGTCACTCGGGGGTTATCCATGTTGAGCCAGGAAGGAATCTGACCGTTAGTAACGATGAAGATGTGTCGCACCCAGGGGGCGTGTTTCTCCACAGAGCGCAGCGAATAGCGGAGCTCCTCGTTGTCCTCGAATCGGCTCGCCGAAACATCTTCGTCCTGCTTAGACTGAGGAGCGAAGACATTTCCAACGATGATGAAAATCTCAACACTCAAACATCATTAAGGATGTATTCCAGCTGAATGAAAGGTGAGGCGTACCTGCGAGATGGCGGTGAGATCATAGAACAAGTAGGCGGGGCTTATGCTCAGCTCCTTCCCATCCAGGGTCAGGTTCTTTTTAGCCTGCTGGCTCAGATCAGCGAAGTCCTGCTGGGTTTTCAGGTGAAGCAGAGCTATGCTGGCCTCTGAATACAGCTCAAACTGCAGCACAGAAATATGACCAGGATGATAACAATTAATGAGCAAATCAGATGGAGATATTAGACCAGAAGCTTTAATGACTTGTAGTTTTAAGTAAAATCTTTATCTTCAAAGTTGGATAGATTGAATAGGAACATCCTTCTTCCTTTAGGCACAAATACATCCGATCTCTGTAGTGAATGTATGTAAATTAGTGGACCCCTCTTTAACCTCCAAACCAACCTCCAAAGCTTCTGCAGCTTCTGATAGTCAAAGTTCCCAAAACGGAATAACAAAAAGTTGCCATTTACCATTCAACTGGTTAGAAAAGGCTGTTTCCGTTACAACCAGTTAATGGTATAGTGGAGGATGTTATTTTTCTGGGTGGATCATCAAAATAATTGGTCCTCCTAATTGTCAATCATTCTGGTGATATGCTAACGTAAGGCCGTCCTACGTCTCCATTTTCACTTACCAGTGGTGATTCTGACATAGTGGAAAATTTGCAAAGCATCTTTTGCAAAGTAAGCTTGTATGAGCGACTTTTACACAGAGCGTGCAACAGGAGGAATGGGCTCATGCACGCTCTCGAATGTGTTAAATAGGTGGTCCCTCTCAGGTACAGGGCTGTGCATGTGGGTTGTTTTTTTTTTTAAAGGGGAGAGGGCGGGTCTTTTCAAAAATTCACAAAAAAAAACCCTACTGTACCTTTAATTAATCTATTAAGGAATTTTAACAAAGATCTTTCAACATCAGATATGAATAAAATTGAGCTTTCATTTCACATTTTTCTTTGTACCGTTCTATCCTTTAATACTGAACTTTTTCTTGACTTGTTTTCTTACAAAGTTATGCAAATATTTAAATACATTTTTATGTTTGTTTGTTTGTTTACTCCAAGTTTTTTTTTTTTTTTAACCCTATGTTCTATAAATCATAAAACAACACGAGGTTTGTCGATTTTTGACTCCTGAACCAGTGTTTTTTTACAGGGCCACTGCTGGAGATTTAAAAAAAAAAATACTTTATATGTTCTTTTCTTTTTTAGTTTAAAATTTTTAATAAAGAAAAAAAAAAGAATCTAACCTTTAATTAGTAAATATCTTTATACAGTTAGGATTTTTGCTGTTGTTGTTTTTTTTTTTTTTTTTTTCTGATACTTGAATCATACATTTTAAAGCCGATTCACAAAAAGCTCCAAAATCTTTTATGTTTTCCTGGTTCAAATAAGTGAAAAACCATGACACTATACTTTTTGAATGTTCCTAGACTTGGAACCCTGTCTTTTGTCTCTATTAGGACTTAATTAAATTAAAATCTGTAAGACTCTGCCAGTGATCAGAAAATTGGTCGACATGAAACTCAACCTTCCTCCATTTCTGCCTCCATCCTCAGACCTGCATCCTCATCAAAACAGAATACCTGTGAGCTCTTCAGCAGGAACTATTACCTATCATTTGCAGTGACCTCAAAGTCTCAGATGAAATCTGATGGTTTGACCAACAAACACTGTGGGCGGAGCCTCCTGGCTGCATCCTGACAGCTGTTAAATCGCAGCAGCTCCAGTGTGTGCAGACCTTTGTTTGCTGCCATCTTTAGACTGACAAAGCATGTGTGAGCTAAACGTGTTTACGAGAGTTTGGAAAAAGCCTTTGAGGTGGTGACCCCTACTAGCAAAGACATGAAGGGGCCTTTCTATGAAGTCATTGACGGCACTGTGAATTTAAAGAGCTAAACCCATGCACTCCAGAGCCTGAATGTTTTTCATTTTCTAAATTATTAATTTGCATTTGAGCAAACAAGAGTCAATGCTGTTAAACCAGAGTAGGAAAAAAAGCAGAAAGCAACTCAGTTCCTGTGATTCTAATTAATAAAAGTTGGGTTTTTTTAAGGCAGCAAAGATTTTGAGCAAATTTGCTCCAGAGATCATGATCCTGGGTGTGTTAATTCATGAGTTGAATGCTTTTTCTCCCTGTTCTTTCAAATTCTTCCTGTTTACCTCGACTTGTTCTTTTTCCTCAGCTGCTGTTAAGGTGATTTTGGTTTAGATTTAAAAAGGCAGGGGACATAACAAGCCTCAGGTCACATTGTCATCTTCATGTCGGCGCTCTTTATAGCACCGTTAATGCTCCAACACAAAGCTGAGGTGTGTGAAGACAGACACGCGTCTATGAATAAGTGTTGAGTTGATGCACGCAGCTACATGTTAGAGCTGTCATGGCTATAAAACACAACTCTGTGATCAGATAGCTGATAAAACCCACTCAGCTTCTTTCTTAGTCCATAAAATAATCCCATAAAGAGGACAAATTTCAGCCTATTTATAGTTTTATATATATAGTTAAAATATGGGGGAGAAGGACAAAGGAGGAAAAAACTTTGCTTCCATAAATCATTTTAAATATTCATGCAGTTTGTTGGTTCAACTCCCATATATTGTGTATTTGAAATGGTGAATGTGAGTTTTTAGGTAAAGCTGTGTGCAAATACACAAACAGCAGAAGAAGGAATTAATATTTAATACTTTATTTAACTGCAGTCTATTAAAATAATAATAAAACAGCAATATTTCCCACATTGTCTAAGTTTTAGATGCAATCCAAAACCAATTAGGAAATCCTTTCTCTGTGATTTTATTAATTTATGCAGGCAAAGAGGCTTTGAAAAGCTTAATTTATTCTACTAGCATAATAGTACACTAAAATTCATAAAATTATCATTCATATTCATATAAGTCGGAAAACTCCAAATGTTTGAAAAATTTAATTCACTTCTAAAAAAAAACAACAACAAAAAAACAAATATACAATCCTAAAATACAGAAGAGGATTAGGGCCAGTGAGAAAAAAAAAAAAAAGTTAACTGATTTTTAAATTTTACTTCAGTTTAGTAAGGGAAAAAAGTCAGGATTCTGACTTTAATCTCAGAATTCTGACAATAAAAAAAGTCTGAATTCTGAGATTAAAGTCAGAATTCTGAGAAAAAATGTCAGAATTCTGAGATTAAAGTCTGCCTTTAATCTCAGAATTCTGACTTCAAACGTCAAAGGAGAATCCATGTTTAGGACATTCCTGCAACTTATACAGTTTGTTTATTAACACTTATCTAAAAACAACTAAACTAAAAACACGTCTATTCTACTAGGGGTAACTGGTTTATGTTTAAAGCAGACTTTGCTTATTGTCCTGTTTGTTTTATCATAATCATTAAACAGTAAATTTGAATCTAAATGTGGAAAGAGAGGAGAGGAGCTATAATGAGCTACAACTATAAACCCCTCTATGGGAGCTGCAGGATATATGCTTTTAAAAAAAAATTATTAATTAGTTTACACCCTATTATTCAAATATTGCTTTAAAGCAACACAAATAAGTATAGTTCTGTGAGTAAACTGACTGATTCTGTGCTGACTGACTGTTTTAGGCAGCTGGGATCACAACACTTTAAAAAAAGCTGTGTTGCAAGTTTCCGATTTAATCCGGAAGCAATAACGGAAAAAAGTCAAGATATCAAATCTCTGCATCAGAGGAAGCAAACACACTTTAATCTGACAAACTTTGCACATCCCTTTATGATAAACGACTGAAAGAGATTTAACACAAACCGCTTTTGATGAGATTATCTACATAAGATAAAAAGTAACAATAAATACCTTTACTTTTGATTAATCCAACTTTAGATGGAAGAAGGAGGATGTGTCAAATTTTACAGTTGATTTAGAGGCATTATATTTAAAACATTACACATACAGGAAAATAAAAAAAAAGTTAAAATGCACCAGAAAATCTTAAGAGCTTTGATCATTTTAAAAATATATAACCACAAATCAAATAAATATAATAATATAGCCAGCAACAGGAATCACAGATTAAACAAACTAAGAGAGAAATTATGAATAAATATTAGGGATGCACGATATTGGGTTTTTGGCCGATATCCGATATGCCGATATTTTAAAACTCATGTAGCCGATAACCGATACCGATGTTAAAGCTGGACAAAAATAAGTAGTCATTGAAAATAGCAGTTTTGTTATCCATTTCTGACACTTGAAAAATAATATACTCAAATATATTTTCATATGCTGATATCAAATTGATTTTTAAAAACGCGGTATCGATCTATTTTACTTTCAAAATCTCGTGAAATTTCATCGTTCTGTTACAAACTCTCGTGATATTTTGCAAATTCTTGTGAGATTTTGTTAGTAAAATAGATCGATACCGCGTCAATATATCAACATATAAAAATATGGCAAAATTTTGTGAATTTGCGGGGAATTTCGTAGCATAACGATGACATATTGCAATATTTCTTTAGTAAAAGAGATTGATATGGTGATTTTAAATGGCAATATATCCGCATATGAAGATATTGTGATATTTTAATGTATCAATATTTTTTTCCCTCGTCTTTAGAAGTTTCTAAGTCTGTAAAAAAGAAGTTTTTGAGGAAGAAGAAGAAGTAGTATTTTTTTTTTTTTTAAACTTTAGAAACTCAGAAGCTGATCAAATATCGGGTTAAATATCGGTGGGGTGGCCGATGTCCGATATTCAGTTTTAAGGCCGATACCGATAGGGGGCCGATTATATCGTGCATCCCTAATAAATATGTTTTCTTAACCATGCTCCAAACGGAAAGATTTAACAAACGAAACATTAAGGAGAAAATGTATCCTTAAATGGATTCTAAAAGTTTTTAAATCTAAAAGTTTATAAAATCACACAGACCGCATCTGGAATAAAATCATATGAGGCTTAAACTGCATCACGTTTATTGCACTTTTTTTTTTTAGATTTCATATTTTATCATTCAGCAAAGTTATAAAATAACCAGATAAAGAAAAATAGAAATAAGGGAGAGATTTAAATACTATATAGATGCATTTGATTGTTAAAAACTGTAAATATGTTTCAGAAACATCCCTTCTCAGGGAGGCTCAGAAGGCTCGTAGTCCAACACAGGTTAGGCCTCAGCAGGCAGATGATGGGGCCTATAGTCCAGCTTTCATCACCGCATCACTCATTCTAATACCCTCTATAAATACAGGGCAGCTCTCACCGCTGAACCGCTCCCTCCTCACTATGTGCATCATCCCTCTTTCAAAGAAGCAGCCAGCGACACCAGGAACCACCCTGAAATCCAAACTGTGCATTGTGTGGAGGCTTGTGCAGCAGGGGTCCATGCCAGACGGAAATGGCAAACCAACACAGAGTTTCCATCGTCTTTCCTGGACTCCGCACGAGTCGCTTCAAGATCCCAATAAATCATGGAAAGTGGAAACCCAGACAGAAAAAAGGGGGAGAACCGAGGAAGTGAAAGGACGTGTTCTTAGAGTTCAGACCAGTTCAGAAAACTGGTGACCTTTCAGCACGCAGACTGGCGTGGTGCCACACCAAACAGTTGTTCTAATGTTAGCCCCCCCCCCCATCCACCGCCAGATACAGTTACAGCCTGAATATCGCCGGATATTATCACATGACCTGAGGCGCTTCATGGAACGATGGGACAACTGCTTTGGACATGATGATATGTGGGTTAAATGCTGCTAACCTGCAGGTCGCCTCAGGCATCCAGGCAGCTGTTTATACGCCGACTCTCCAGCTGTTTGTGTGTCGCAGACCATTGAAATTAGAATTACATTAAAAATAAATAAACCTAACCTATTTAAGCAACTGTGCTCTTTATAGCACAGATTAGTCGACTCGTGCCAGGTTGTCGAGGACCGTTTAGATCAGAACTTTGTAAATTTGACGGGATGCTTATGGGAAAGCTGCTGCTTTTCTTTGCTTATTCTAGTTTATGTTATATTAAAAAATCTCAGGAGGAAAATGAACTTTGTGCACAGTAGGGAGGGGAACAAAGTCCAGCTCATGATAGAGATTCTTATTTAATCAAAAGAATGCGGTACTTTAACAGGAATAACTGCTCTAATGTTGATCTGATTATTTAAAGGGATACCGCCGACTTTATGATCTATAGAGTTACGTATGCGAGTTATTTTAAATGATTCCTGCAGTAGTATTTTTTCGCCTGCTCTACTACTGGTCATGGCTGATGGATGGAAAACCTTTAAACTTTAAAGAGACTACAAAGAGAAACATAAAAGGAATCATGAGCGAGGAAAAACAAGAGTAGATCACGGAGAGGAGTTTATTACCTGGTAAGTTTTTACCAGGTCTTTGTTATAATTTAGCAAGTTTAGTAGAAGCAAAATGCGGGAAGTTACAAGTCTAGCGCCCCTACTGGCCAAAAGTTACACAGTATGATTCAAGTTTAATTACTAAAATCACCATTTTTTTTTTTTTTTTTATTGCAGCTTCCAGTAACATACTGAACATATAAATGTAAATATTTCCCCAGAAATTTACATTTTGACTTGTTAGGACCTAAAATTTTAGCTGATGTTTTAGGGATTTTAGTTAATAGCCAGAGAAAACAGAGGAGAAACATCCACACTTTGTTAATATAAGTGGAGAGTCAATGCCAGTGTCAATTCCAAGATTTGGGAAACTGATAATGGGAAATAGGTGTGGACTTTGACTAGACCGCTCTAATAATTGAAGAAACCCTGTAACCCTGCCTGTATGTTCAGAGCTGTTCATCACAACAGGGTAAATTCTATCGCTTATACACATTGAAGTGTATAGGAAACCTACTCACACAGACCAGTATCTTCTTTTTGACTCACACCACCCACTGGAACACAAACTCTCAGTCATCAGAACCTTACAACACCGGGCAGAACATGTCCCTACTAAAACAGATGGGAAGCAAAAAGAACAGAAACACATCAAAGATGCTCTCCGAAACTGTGGATATCCAAACTGGGCTTTTATCAAATCAGCAAGGAAATCCAAAAGACACGCAACAGAAGACAGCGATGGGAAAATTAAACGCAAAAACATCACAATCCCTTATGTTGCTGGAGTGTCTGAAAAGCTCAAGAGGATTTTCTCCAAACACAAGATCCCAGTACATTTCAAGCCAAACCAAACCCTTAAACAGAGGCTAGTGCACCCTAAAGATAAAACCCCCAGACCGAATATGAGCGGAGTGGTATATGCTGTTCAGTGCAGCAAGGAATGCTCTGATCTTTATATTGGCGAAACAAAACAACCTCTCCACAGACGCATGGCCCAACACAGAAGAGCGGCCGCCTCTGGACAAGACTCCGCAGTACACCTACACCTTATGGACAAAGGACATTCTTTTGAGGACCAGAATGTCCATATTCTGGATAAAGAAAATAGGTGGTTTGAGAGGGGCGTGAAGGAAGCCATCTATGTTAAGAGAGAAAAACCAACTTTAAACAGAGGTGGTGGACTCAGATTCCAGCTTCCAAAAACATACAATTCAATCATAGACATGATCCCTTCCAGATATCACCAAACCCCCCACCCCATCACAGAGGAACGAGGGACCTACCCGCTCCAGCCGGTGAACAATACCTCCTTAACGACCGACCCTTAACAATCATAGACAGGTTTCAGGTATTACAGGAGACAATCCCCCCCTTAATGGCAATCCCCCCTTTAACGACCGACCCCTAGAATCATAGACAGGTTCAGATATTACAGGCTAACGATGGAACTAACGACCCATTCATCGGTTACCATTGCATGTCTCCAAGCGATACAAGGCCTTGTCTATATAAGACTCAAACTCACTGCGGATCCAGACATTTGAATTGAGAAAGCTTCCTGGAGAGGTGGCGAAACGTCTTCAAATCTTGAAAACCAAGTCCAGTGGTTATTTTTTGAATTTTTACGGAATCGCTTAGAGAAAGCATTCCCGCAGCATTATGCTGCCATCACCGTGTTTAACTGTAGAAGCCGCTTTACTTTCTCACTAACATGAAACGCAAATTACCTCATACCAGTTTGAAAATACTTTTTTATATCACAAAATACAATGAATATAAAACAAACAATAATAAAGATTGATGATGTATAGATTTAAAGAATAGAACTTTAAGAAGCTAAATCTGTATAAATTAAGCCACGTTTGTTTTGGTGATCATGAAAAATATAACTAATGCAAAATGTTAGTGATAGTTAAAGGAAAAAATTATTATATTTTATATAAACAACTGTTACTTTCTCTAATTTTTCATGTTTAATCATTAGTAGGAATATAAAAAAAGACCCTAAGATTCAGCTTTTTCATCTCTTTTAAATAAAATCCCACAAGTTGAAATATTTTTTGCATGTTTTAACAATTTTTGAGCAAAAAACAAACATATTAAAACCGCATTAAGTTTAATATTTGAGTTTTTGTTTAAGGTTTTTTTTAGGGCTACATTTTATGATCTGCAAATATCTGATATAAAAATAATACATAAAATGTGAACAGATGAATTTAAGAAATCCTTAAAAAAAAAAACAGAATTAATGTTGCTAAAATGAGTCACTTCAAACTAAGGGTTTATATTTCTTTTTCTAACTTAGGAGCAGGAAGGTAACATTAGTGGATGGACTGTCGTCATTTTCATTTTATAAAAGCTGCTATCCGATTCATCGGCTGCATTAGAACATCATGTAAGTCCGCAGCCAAAGGATCACTCAGCTACACTCTACTTTTGTTTTCCTTAATTACTTCAGATCGCTCATTAGAGCCACTCTCTCCTAAAATACTCAGACTGCAAGACAGCGAGCCAAACAAAGAGCTTTTATCCTCACATCAAAGTAACTGTTAAAAATAGAAATAATATTTTTAGCTCATTTTAAGCCTCATCAAGTGAGCTCTGGCTCTGATTAAATGGTATAAACAGTCGTAGCCTATAGTGTACAAAACGTTAGACATAGAAACACGCTTTAGTATAGGTAAAAAATAAAAATAAAAGTTTTTCCTGTGTTTTGAGAGTATAAAAGGTGTTTTTCAATGTACCAATTTTAAGGAAGTTTAGAAGATTAAGCAAGAGTTTATTTTGTAAATCTCATAATTATTTTAGTTGGCTGGAGGCAAAGGAACATGGAATAAATTGATTAGGAGAGCAACTCTGCCCCCTGCTGGGCTAAATAAGAACTTTTACAGCTTGTTGACAGGAATAATCTGTAATCTTCAATTATTTACTGTTTTTTTTTTTTTTTCAACCTATGACAAGGAAAAAGAAAACATTTTTAATTTAATGGTTTAAAGTTTCCTCTCCATACAATAACATATGAGTCCCATGGTTGGATTGAATGCTGGATGGATGGTCTTTCTTACCTGTTTGATCTTGCTGGTTATGGCTGAAGGCAGTTTCACTCTCATCTGCTCCGTATCTTTGATGGATGACGGGAAGCCGCTCAGGTAGGCCAGAGCCTGCATGTGGATTAAACCTGGAGCCTCTTTATCTGTCGTCTGAAAGAAAGACAAACAGGTGGAAGTGAATAAAAAAAGTTTAAAAAGACACTTTTAGTTTCCTCTTTAAGGATGTATACAGCTGTTAATCATATCTAGTAAAAAGGAAACAGATATCCATTCATTAAAATATATAAAAAAAGCTTGTTTTTCTGCACAGCTCTAATGAAGTTCAGTTAACATCATGTTTCATTCTGGACTTTAACTAAGCTGTTGCATAAACCTGATTCTTTTATTCTGCTGTATCCCTGTTAGTTCATCTGTCTAGTACCTGTCAGACTGTAGTAGAATAGTTTGGTAAAAGTACAAGATGACTGGAGGTAAACATCCATCCTGTCTTACATCTTTCCATCCCTCATCCATCCAGATTAGGGCTACAACAACGAATCGATAAAATTGACAAAAATCTACTTTTAAAAGCGTTGGCAACGAATTTCATCATCGATTAGTTGTGTCGCGCGATTAATGCGTCATCCGCCGCCGCCGTCATCACTGCCACTTGATTGAAACGCGGGAAGAAAAAAAAAATATGGCAGAGGGCATCTCAATTCGCAGACAGCCTCCGCTTTGTAAAGCGAAAAAAGTCATAACATTCAACTTTTGCAAAAACAAATGAACATGGCACAGAAGCACCGCTGTTATGATGCAGCACCTGAAAAGGAAACACGATGGAGCCTTCGATGGCAGTGAAGAGAGCTGATCAGCAGGGTGAGCGACCATGTTTGTTTGGTTTTAAAGTGGGAAAACGTAACATTAGTTTCTCAGGTAGCTCATCTGATGCTTTCCTTACCGTGTTAGTAGGTTACAGACAGTGATCAGGTTGGCTACTTGTTTTACTTTTAATTTCATTTGAATTAGCTTAAGCAGCGTTTATATTTTCTTTATAAATAAATTAACTTGCAAATTATGAGGGCAAGGCTTTTAAAGTTTAAATCTTCTGGCAAAGATAAAGTAAAGAAGATCCTGCAATTTATGGAAGTAAAGCAGAATAAAATCCAGCAAGATCAGTAATATGTCAATTAATTATTTGCCACATTCCCATGTAAATATCTGTCTTTGGAGGATGTGTTTTTTAGCACCCCTAGTTCTCTCATTTTTATTCCAAATACAATTTATAATTTGAATCACAGGGCTATTTTTATCTCTATGGTTCAGTATTTTCTCAAGTAGCAACTTTAACTGCTATACTTTCCTGTCTTAAAAGGCAGAACTCTTCTAGTCTAAAAAAACTAATTTGTTGAAATGGGGGGACCTATTGTTTGAACCCCTTAGGGGCTTTAAAAAACAAAAATGCCTATCTTTTTTGCGCTTTATGAAACAAAGTACCCTATATTTTGTGGATGTACAGCTACATTTCTCATGTATGTTTGCGTAGTTTTAACACAAACATTTATTTTTTCATATTGCACCAGTACAGTTAATGAGCAACCTGTACTTGTGTGCTTGTTTGTTCTGTCTAAAATGTTTATTTTGGAATAAAGAGGTTAATATAAAAACATTTTTTTGTCCGATTCATCGATTAATCGGGAAAAATAATCGTCCGATTCATTGATTTTTAAAATAATCGTTAGTTGCGGCCCTAATCCAGATGCACATTTAGTCCAAATAGTCGTGAATTTGAACATTTAACACGTTAACTCAGGTTGGAGTAATTCTTTAAAAGGAATGGGCAGCTGTATCTAAAATATCCTTCTTTCTCTTCCTCAAGTACATTTTTAGCGGCAGTCTGCTACTAGGGTGTATTTAGTGTATCACATGACTGTATGAGAAAAGTTTAAATAAAAATATCTAAAGGGGAAATGGCATTCACCAGATAGCATCTGGACACAGAAAATGGATGGGTTTCCCTCGAGAGATCTGCAAAGGCCTTATCCGCTAAAAAAAGAAAAGAAGAAGAAAGATTACTACAGAGGGTTACTGCAAATATGCACATAAAAGTCAAAGGAGTTTCATCATGAATTAGTTAACAGCCATGCTCATAGTGTTGGAGCATCATTTTCTGCTGAACTTAAAAGCTGCAGTTTTTACCTTCAGCCTGCGAATGAAAGACGACAATGGAGACGCTGACAGGCTGGTGGAAAGGTTTGCTCACGATCAGCAGCTCTTTGGCAGCGGAGAGCGAGGCTGAGACCTCGGGCAGCTCTCTGACAGTGAGGTTGGCCGGCAGAGCGGGATCCAGCGCCAGCATGGGCGCTACGATGCAATGGGAGAGCAAACATTCAGGCCTATCGCTGTGAAAAGATGAAAAAGGAACAAATAACACCCTAATGAGACACACCGTTGCACAGAGAGGTGGCCACACTTCCTTTGTTGTGCCATTAGAGGTGTGAAGAGAGTTAAGTTCACACATTTAGCCGATGTGAAAGGTTGCATCAAACAGCTCTGGTGTCTGTGGTTAAACTCAGAAAAAAGTAGACGAGGACAAAGCGTTAAAATGTGTGAAGAGGCGGGAAACATCCGAGTTTAACCTTTGCTACAAATCAGTATGCAGATTATTTATTTTATCTAGGTTTATAAGAATCACTTATCTTTTCTTTTTTTAAATGTGTGACAAATATAAAATTGAGTTAGGAGGAATTACCATTCTGACGTTATCGTTCTGTGATCTTATCAGTTCAGACCCCTGAGTCGTATTTCCTTGTGGTCTAACCGAACCCGGCTTCCTGTTGTAGCAACAATGCAGCTTTACCTTCAACAGGCAACCACTTGCAGAGCGTTTAGGAAAACCTGCATGTCTGACAACCAGTCCCCAAAATATGGGCCCACTTGGATAAAGGTGACAAACTGCAGCAACTGCTTTCAATAAATCTTTTATCCAGGACACTTCAGGGTTTATACGTGAATGAGTAACTCTAATTTAATGCTCCTCTCACACACATATATATACACATATATATATATATATATATATATATATATATATATATATATATATATATATATATATATATATATACATATATATATATGAAAGGAGCTAGTCTTAAACTTTAAAGAAATACACCCTATACCCTAATGACTATTCTAGCTGCAAATGTCTGGTTTTTGGTGCAATATCTACATAGGTGTAAAGAGGCCCATTTCCAGCAACTATCCTCCAGTGTTCTAATGGTACAATGTGTTTACTCATTGGCTCAGAAGGCTAATTGATGATTAGAAAACCCTTCTAAAATCATGTTCACACATCTGAAAACAGTTTAGCTCGTTACAAAAGCTACAAAACTGACCTTCCTTTGAGCAGATTGAGTTTCTGGAGCATCACATTTGTGGGATTAATTAAACGCTCAAAATGGCCAGAAAAAGAGAACTTTTATCTGAAACTCGACAGTCTATTCTTGTTCTTAGAAATGAAGGCTATTCCATGTGAGAAATTGCTAAGAATTTCCTACAACGGTGTGTACTACTCCCTTCAGAGGACACCACAAACAGGCTACTGTGGGTACTTTTTAATGAAGATGCCAGTTGGGGACCAGTGAGGCATCTGTTCCTTAAACTAGAGACTAATCTACTTATCTTCTTGCTCAGTTGTGCAACGCGGCCTCCCACTTCTTTTTCTATTCTGGTTAAAGCCTGTTTGTGGTGTCCTCTGAAGGGAGTAGTACACACCGTTGTAGGAAATCTTCAATTTCTCACATGGAATAGCCTTCATTTCTAAGAACAAGAATAGACTGTCGAGTTTCAGATAAAAGTTCTCTTTTTCTGGCCATTTTGAGTGTTTAATTAATCCCACAAATGTGATGCTCCAGAAACTCAATCTACTCAAAGGAAGGTCAGTTTTGTAGCTTCTGTAACGAGCTAAACTGTTTTCAGATGTGTGAACATGATTGTAGAAGGGTTTTCTAATCATCAATTAGCCTTCTGAGCATTAGAACACTGGAGTGATAGTTGCTGGAAATGGGCCTCTATACACCTATGTAGATATTGCACCAAAAACCAGACATTTGGAGCTAGAATAGTCGTTTACCACATTAGCAATGTATAGAGTGTATTTCTTTAAAGAGAAGACTAGTTTAAAGTTATCTGCATTAAAAAGTACAGTGATTTTCCTTCAAAAATAAGGACATTTCAATGTGACCCCAAACTGTTTAACTTTTCTAGAGACACAAACCACCCTTACAATTAGATTCGGAATTAATTTGAACCATTATTTTGAAAATTTCTCCTATGGACTCTAAGTGATATTGTGGTGAGGCTAAAGTGTGGTTTTAAACAAAACAGTTTTCAAATTAAAATGAGAAAACACCTCCTTAGACACCCATTTTCTACATACCGTATTTTCACGACCATAAGGCGCACCGGGCTATAGGGCGCGTTTTTTATATACCGGTACATGTCCTCTACTACCTTTAAATACCTCTACTGCGTATTTAAAAATACAGCGGGGGCAAAACTGAGTATGACTGTGCTTTATTCATGTATTTATTACAAAGTATTAATCAAACCTGGCAGCTGGCCGTGAGACAGACACATCGCAGATGACACAGCGCTGTGGTCACTCCTAAATTAACTTAAAATCCTAAAACCTGCCGACAGAATATGTTCGCTTTTATTACCGGTATCCTGGTGCCTGCAGCTAAAATTATTTAGATGAAAAACACCTGCCAGCCACCGCGGTGAACGAAAGGATTTCTCCTGTCGGCGCACCGCTGGTATGTGGGGGTCTGAGCGCCTCTGACAGAAATAGATAATCTGGATGAACTGACTGCAATTATTAAGTTTTCAGGTGGCCTTTCTCACTTAAAAACATATTAAAACTACTTTATTCCCACTGATCACAGCAAATATAGCTGCAAGATTTAGATTATTTAGATGAAAAAACACCTGCCAGCCACCGCGCTGAAGAGGAGGAGACGCGCCCACAGGCAGCTGTTGAATTAAGTTTTCAGGTAGAAAAATAGAGCGGGAGCAAAACTGAGTATGATTGTGCTTTATTCATGTATTTATTACAAAGTATTAATCAAACCCATCAAAGTCATCCTCCTCTGTTTCTGAATAAAACAGCTGCGCTAAATCAGACATGCCAGTTTCCCCTTCTTCGCTGTCAGTCACTTTCCGTGCAGCGCGGCTCCTCAGAAATAATGCCGGCTTTTGCGAAAGCTTGAACAACAGAGCCAGCAGACACGTTAGTCCAAGTATCTACAATCCATCCGCAAACTGTGGCGTAACTTGCCCGGCGCTGCCTTCCATTTATCATGAAACTGTGGTCTCCGTCTGTCATCCACCGCTCCCACGCCGCTCGCAGCCTTACTGTGAACGGCCGCTCCACACCGATGTCGAGCGGTAGAAGTTCCTTTGTCAGACCCCCGGGATAACGGCGAGCACAGCGTTCATTTGATTCATCTTTTTTTCACATCGGCTGTGAGATGGGCACGCAGCGATGGTGATGCGTGGAAAAAACCACCTAGTCTCCTCACATACACCTGCCTCAGCCACGCATCCACCCAGCCCTTTTCATTTGCGTTAATATCATATGTCATCAGAGCGCTGTGTCTGTCTCGCTGCCAGCTCCCAGATCAGCTTCTCTGATTGGTTGATGCGGCGCGTCCAGCAGCAAAACTTCAATTTTTCCATCTGAGCAGCAGCAGCACGTTGGCGGTGCGTCAGATGCTTAAACGCTCCCGACGTGCTGCACCAAAACGCGCTGCAGGACCTTTTGCTGTGCCTATACGCGCGTCAACCATTGACTTTGCATGTAAACTCGCTGCTTCTGCTGCAGCTGCTGGGTCCGGTTCACACCGATGTTGAGCGGTTGAACAGCGAGCACAGCGTTAATTTGTTTCCCCATGTTTTTCACATCAGCTGAGAGATGGGCACGCATGGAGTTACATATTAACAGCGATGGTGAGGGGTGGAAAAAAACCACCTGGTCTCCTTACATTCAGCCACTCTTTCATCATCTCCTCAATGAGGTGGTCTCAAAAGTCGCAGTTACAACACACATAGGGCGCACCGCACATTTTGAGGGAAAAAAAAGACGTTTAAGTGCGCCTTATAGTCGTGAAAATACGGTACGTCTTCTAGATTAAATCTTACTCTTGCAGTTGCAGGATAATAAAACGTGAAAAAATTCAAAGTAAAAAACATATTTTTAAGGTTTGGCCTACAGTATAAAGCAGTACCTACCTGTCTTTTGGCACTTCTGTGGTGTCAGTTGTGTTTTTCCCCAAATGTTCCCTGTTTAGTAATACAAAAAAAAAGTTCACTTCACTTTTACTGCATGGGAGTCTCTAAAAAGGTTTTGTTTTTGCTTAAAGACAGAAGCTAGAGATAGTTAAGGAAATATCTTCATCCTAAATTGATCTTTATCAAAATGCTAATCATTTTAAATGTGTTTCAGTTGATTAAAATGAGAAAAAGGAAAAAAAGTTTGAGCAAACAAGTTTGTCTGCAGCGGTTGGAGCCGCAGCTACCTCAGAGCTTTTTGTTCCTCCTCCAGCTGCTCTTTGACCGCCTTCAGTTCCTTCAGCAAAGCCACATCTGTGCCGTTCACCCATGTGTACACAACGTCAATAGGCATCGGCAGACAGAGCCTGACAGATAAAAAAAGAAAACACCAGATCCTATCAGAGAAGACAGCAGCCCAACTCTGCAAATTTCTGTCATGTCGTCAATCTAGATTATTGTTTGTTCAAGGATTGCCTTATCCTGTCTTTCAGGATTTAACTTAAGGCAAAGCAAAGGTAAACATTAGTGAAAGAATTTACCAAAAGAGAAACCGGTTCATTTAAAAACTCTATGGAGTAAAATGTCCTTTTAAAGCCAGAAAAACCAGAATGTTTTCTGACTACGATACAAATTATAACAAGGATTTTTATCACATGGCCTCTGACATTTTAAACCAAGCTTTCCTTAAACTAATACAACCTTTAAATCAATCAAAAAAAAATAATAATAATAACTGATCGCTCTGGATGCCACTACTACATTACAAAGACGACCTGTTTTCATCATTTTCTGAGCCAAATGACTGACAGATCACCTATTAGTAATAATGAAACATATATTTTATGTCTCACATATAAGAATGCATCTATGTTTTACTTACATATACAAATATATTTTTCTCTGCCATAAATATATTAATGCCTTACATTTACATACTGTTTTGCTTACATTCATAAAGTTTATTTTTCATATACTTACAGTATATCAGTTCTTTTACCTGCTTATTTGCACATTAAGAGTTTATTGTCTGCTTATAAATAAACAAATCTCCCCCATACATATTTTCCCCATTCTAAAAATAAAAGGTCAAAACATAAATGAAGGTGTTTGGAAATAACAGTATATGAATGAGAGAGAGTTTAGTAGAAAATCAGAGGATTTATTGAATTGTGATTGGAGGAATCACAGCTCATGAAGGAATCTTCAGAAACTTGTCGCATTTGTTCCAAACCAAAAATAAACTTCTGAAAAACATTTGAATGTCATTTTCAGAGCTCCGAACCTCAACTTACGGAAAAATAATGGATGAAAATAATGGCTGAATTTGAAAAGTTTCTTTATGAAGTTTTTCAAAACAATATTCTGTTAAAATTTGCCATAGAATATGCAGCGCTTTGCCTGATTAAAATAAAAATATTTTGCTATTCGAGTAAAAATATCCTCGGTCACTCAATAGATAGAGCAGAGAGAACCAATTAAAAATCAGCAGGGTCCGAATAAAGAAAAGCATCAACCAGTAAAGGTCCGGAGACTTTTTTAATTATAATATTTTATAATTTAATTTGAATTTAACACTGAAATAAAAAGCAGTTTTTTATGCATCTATGATATACATTAAATTAAAAAAATGATATATATATATATATATATATATATATATATATATATATATATATATATATATATATATATATATGTAAAAGAGAGAATGTTTCGATTTTAAAATCTTGAGTTTTTCCTGAAGTAGAGAACAACAATCTATCAGTTTGGTATATATACAATCTGCTGATTCACATATTTTATAAAACATCTGAGCTGACCATTTGTTTGTATTTTCTTTCTTCTGGCTTAATGAGAGCAGTGGGCTTTATGCTGCCTTGCAAGGATTTAAACCTGGGTTTGAATGGAGACAAAGCCGTTCTAAAGCACATATCAAGGTGCTCATTTTGAGCCTGGATCCAGATTTATTTTTGATTCTGTTTATGGTGGAGAATCCTGCTTCACAGCAGCAGGTTGAGCCAAACATCCTCTAAATGTGCAGGGTCATCTTTGAGCACGCCATTTCAATTTTTTGTCACCAGTTCTTCCAGCAGTCCACACTTTCTCAGCTCTCTTTTTCTTATCGTCTTCTCCTTCTTTCCCATCGCCTGGCTTGCCACAGGTTTGCCTGCTGTGTCTAAAAGGAGCAGCAGCAGCAACCCAGACTGAAAGCAGCCCATTGGATAATATGTGTGACGTGTAGCCTGGTCCTGGACACTCCGAAGGGCTTTACCATATTAACCTCTTAAAACCCACCGGGCCCTTGACCCGGTGGGTTTTAAGTGGGGGTATCAACTCAGAATGTATAAAATTCCACTGGTAAAATTTTTTACCAGCAGGTGGAGCTATTGCGCGCAGCTCCAAGCTGACACCAAAAGTTCCAATCCCCGCAGCTCTGGAACTGTTATAGCTAGAGGTCGGAAATTTTCTGCATTTGTGGTTGACTTGATGTAGAACAAATATAATACAATAAAACCTGCTTTTTCTCAAGAATGTCTTTATAACTGCTGTTAAAAAAAAAACGATAATTTCAGAGAATAAAAAAAAAAAAAAAAACTTTGAGTCATGTTTGACCTGATGCAGGTTGGTCGTGTTCTAGTCACCCAATTTTAATTTATATATTACGAAACTAGAGGGTGTTAGCTTTCAAATAATGTATTACACATGTAATTTGGGCTAACACTTCCTAAGTTATTCGCTTTTCCATTTGGGTATGCAAAATAGGCAAGGATTACCCAAAATGAGGTAGATGTTAACAGGTTAACAGGAGAAGCGGCCAACAACATGCAGAAATTTATAACCGTTTTAAATCAGATTGGATCCGGACCACAGTCCGCTGATCCGTGACCTCTGATACAAATATAAAGTACTGCACATATGTATCTGAAAATGGAATGTATGCATGCAAGAAGAGAACAGTTGAGATCTGAAAAGAGAACAACAGCAATTTATGCATTAAGATGTTATCAGGTCAGTGAAGACAAACTAAAGCTGGATAAGATAAGAACAACCAGACAGAGCAACAATTAAGGTACAAAGGAAGCAAATGAAAATCATCAACTGTGTTGTTACCAGAAGAAGCTCACCTGCTCTGGAAGGATTTCCCCCCCACATTGTCTCTATAGGAGTCAAAAAGCACATGATACTGGTCCCGGCTCCACTCCACCACCACCTATAAGGAGAAAAGATGTTTCCAAACATCCCAAATATGATGAATAAAACCAAGAATACCCAAACACTGCATCACTTTTAATCAAGTTCAACAGTAACATAAGTTAAAGGGGATAAAACACTAAGATATGTGCAAGTTTTCAACATTTTCCTCAGAAAAAATGGTCTGCAGAAATCAAATAATATGTGAAATCTGGGGGCAAATATATGATTATCTCTGCAGATACTAAGGCAAGTAAAATATGCAATTTGGAGATTATTTTGTGTTGTTTCTTCACATTAAATAAAAGTGAAATAATGGAAGTTTGTTGTTTTAACTGGATAAATGCAAATTAATTCAGAGGTGTATACTTCTGGAAGGAAAGACGAATTTCTCAGCATACTCTAAACACTGAAAGGACGTCTTCAATTGCTATGGTTACCTCGTGTTTGCTTCTTGAAGAGGAAATTTATCTTAATTTGCGTTATTTTTCAATGGAGTTTGGGTTGAAAGCGTTTTTATTTAGCAACAGGGAGGTATTAGTTCAATGCTTAAAGATATGGATAAAAAAAATAAGAAAAAAAAGGATCTTTATAAGCCCGATGACAGAAACCAGAAGAGGCTCACCTCTCCAAACTGAAAGGCGGAAACGATCATGAGTACCAGACCCCCGAAGCAAAGGTAGAGACCGTATCGGTGGGACAGACAGGTGTAGGTCTGCCTCTGCAGCAGCTTCAGCACCGAGTTCACGAGGACCATGGCTCTCCTGGGTCGAGCATAGCGCTGCATTCATTCAGAAAAAGTCGAAACAACCGCTGTTTAAAGCGCTACACAAAAGAAAGTAAACATCACAGGCGAGAAGGAAGCGTCAGCTGACCGCCAGACGGACTGCACATGACAACCGGAGCCTGTGGCTCTTCCTCGGCGGCGGTGACGCTACAGCCGAGGGGGCCGCTTCTACTGTCAGGACTCTATGTTGCCCTCTAGCGGAAAGGAAATTGAACAGCGTTTTTTTAATGCTGAATGCAATAAAATATTCAAATGAGTGTGTATTTAAGCATTTTTGCAATGCAAGAGCCACATAAACATTATTTTATTATTTATATGTATAATTTCTTATAAAATGAAGAGCAGTTTTCCATTATTACTGTCTGATATTCCTCTGTCTTGATTTTTTCCATCAGCCATTTGAGATTTTAGTCCTGGAGAATAAGGCTTTAAAGAAATAAATTCTTTGTTTAATTAGTTAATTTTGTTTTCCTAAACAATAGCTTTAATTGAATTTTTTTCATGTTGGAAATGATTGATGACTTCATCATTATTAATCATGATTTTGGTTGATTGAAAGAAAAAGTGTGAAAAATGTTAATGTCTCGCTGTTGATTTATCTTCTGGGTTAAGTGTCACAATCATTTCCATTGTTTTTTGGTTGATATCTCTCTCATTGGTAGCATGTTTGGTTTAATCTACCGTTTTCAACAGCTGATTGCTTTCTGCAAGTACTCTATCTTAATTATTAACAGATTAATGGGGCCCTTAAGATGCTTTTTAAGATAGCAACGCCCCCCCAAATCCTTTTTTTTTTTTTTGGATTAGTCTGGTTGAGATGTTGTTTTTTATTAGTCTTTTTTGGCTCTAACTTCATAAAAAAAAAAAAAAAAAAATACAATAATTTATTTGGATAAGTTTCAGGTGTTTATTTGGTAGTATTTTATTTTCTTTGGTATGGATTCTGAAAAGGAAAACTTTAAACTGTTAAGTTAATAAAAATCAAATGTAAAGTGATTCATTTATAGATTAAATTGAAGCTTTATAAATATTCAAATATATAAATGAGGATCTGTTTTTTTTACAAACCATATATCTAATGCTCGTAAGTCTCAACTTTTCAGCTAATAGTCTTTTATTTTGAAAGTGTAGTCATGTTTTTTTGTTACACTTTGTTTTCTCTCCAAGGCATTACTTTAGACCTATTGATATCACAGATTCAAATACTTTTTGTTTCACTTGACACACACTATGTCCTTTGTGTACTATAGTTCTAGACTATTACAAGTGCATCTGCCCTCTAGCCTCTTCCAAACACCTGTATCCATATCTTCATCTTGTCTTTTATTGTTTAATTATCTGACGTTTGTGCCAGGTAGATATATAAAGAAAGCTGACGCTTTAGTATTTATAAAGCTTGTGAATAAGTCTCAGAAACGGCGTCACATAGGATTAAAGCCACCTGGGATCCAAAAATAGTGACCAAACATCTGCATGGCTGTGATGGTTCTAGGATGCAGCTTTGCTGCTCTGTAAAAGATCAAAGTTACAAATAAACAATAACGGTCTCATTTATTTGTATTAGAAATTAATATGATTTAAAAAGGTCATTTATTATTTGTGCAATTCAATTTATTTTGGGTGGAGATGTTAATATCAAAATTATTAAGACCAAAACAACTGGATATATCAATAGAATTAAATAAAAACTAAAATTTTAACCTGTCATAAATGGGAATATACTAGTTAAAGCCTTAAATTACCTTTTTTTTTACTTTTTTGTGTATATTTTGTAGTTGAACCTCATTTGAAAAACTTATTGTACAAATTCAGCATAAGGAAACAAACAAAAACACAACCTGGAAAAAACAAAAACCCTTAAAATGTTTTCTTCAAACCCTTATTCGTTGCCTCATCTGTTTTCTTTTCGTCTATATAAACATCCATGCATTTGTCTCATAGTTTACATTAACTCCACGCATGGGAAGATCTTTGGAAAGCACAAGTCGTTTAAAAAAAAGGCATTTCGATTGATAGGAGTTCTTTAAAATGTTTGTGAAACCACAGAAGATCGGGAAAACTTGAGGTTTTAAAGTGTACTGAGAACCGTTCGTCTGTTTATTAAGTAAAAAAAAAAGAAATAAAAATATAAATGTGCTGAAGAACCAGCCTTTTTTGCGTTAATGTATATCAAATTACAACATTTGTTTTCATAAGACTACACAAAGACAAAACAGCTGGTTGCTCAATGAAGAGACACGTTGAACTTATTCACTATGAGATTGCAGAACCTGCATGAGTAAGGCGGGCTCTCTGATAAACGCAAATTATACACTTGAGCAAAAGCAGAAGTGTAAAAAAAACTCCCTTTCACTGTCACATGCTGAACAAACTAATGTGAAGGTTTTGAGTTATCTCAGAATTCTCCCGATAAGGCTACAGCGTTTGCTTTTGTCTCACTGCTTACAAGCTCACAAACCCGAGTAAAAAAGATCTTTCCAAGAAAACTATTTCTTAAGAAGCTGCCAAGGAAGGCCCTGGCAAACTCCAATGAGTTCCTAAAACAACGGAGGCTCTGAGGCCGGGCTGTAGGGAGGAGGTGGAAGGGAGGACTTAAAAAATGTGATAATGTGAGAAACTGGCAGATGTTTTTTGGTCCAAACCCTGCAAACTATTTACCTACATGACAGGAAGATTACAGCTCCTTCTGAAATTCTTCTACTCATACATCAACAATATCAAAGGTTATTAAGCATCATAAAACAGACTCATTTAAACATCCTTCCTTTGTAAAAACAAAAAAAAAAACTGAAGCATCATTTCCCTGCCAGCTGATTAGTGTGATCACTGAAAATACCTCCATCACAGCCATTGAAAACCCTGAACTGCTTTCTTACGGCTCAGACTTCTGTTTTCTGCCGATTTGTGTTTCATTTCTTTTACTGCTGGGTTTTCCACCGTTAAAACATGCTTTCAGTTTTCTCTTCCCAAACGTTGACATCTTACTCAGCTTCTGTTTGGGCAACCGTCTCAAATATTTATGGGGAACAGACGACTTATTTTGCCACAGATCATGAGGTATTTCCCATGGTGTTTTTAGGTTTTGTCATCCTTTTCTTTCATATGAAAGCTTTGTTTCCTGTCAGCTGTCTGACTGTAAACTCATGTGAATACTTGTGCAGGTAGTTGTGTCAAAAGCAGATGAAAATAGCGTTTAAAAATCTATAAAGACAAGACTGTCATTTTCTTTGAGATATATGTTACCCTACTTTAAGCAGTAGCTCGCGTATTTAATTGTCACATGAATATGGTAAGTTATAAGAAAGCAGAGGACTGATTTGTGGAACCTTTTTGTTAAACGTGCATCTTTACGCTTTACGTGTCTTTTTTAAAAAATCCCTTGAAGAAGTATTAACACCTGTAAAGTTGCCCATATTTCGACCACAAATCTCAACACATAGTTAAAGTTATAGTGGAAGGTTTTTGCTAATTTTTGAAAAGACCTGCCATCTCCATTTAAAAAAAAAAAATTCACATGCACAACCCTGTACTTGCACCAGAGGGGGAAGGCCTATTAAAAGCATGCAAAAGCGTGCACTAGCCCATTTCTCCTTGTGCACAAGCCGATTAAAAGTTGCTGTTTGCATCGCTCATACAAGCTTACTTTACAAAAAAAGATTTGCAATTGTCCCACTATGTCAGACTCACCCCCGGTAAGTAAAACTTGGGACGAGCACGTAGGACGGCCTTACGTAAAGATATCGCCAGAATGATTGACAATAAGGACGATCACTTATTTTGATTAACCCTAAAAACATCCTATACTTTTAACAGGAAAGTGCTTATATTCATCCCCTCTTGAGTCAATACTTTGTGAAAAACATTTTCCATGTTTCAATAAACCTGGAGACTGAATTTGTTTGCCTTCTATTATTGACAAACTCAGATGGATCGGATCTGGAAGACTTTCCACAGATCCTCCATTCGGATCAGGTTCAGACTTTGAGTGGAACATGTCACATCATTTTGATTCCATCAAAACAATTTAGCTTTATTTTCAGGGTCACATTCTTCTTATCCAGACTAGAGCTTGTATTCAACCTCACATACCTCCAAACTTCCAGGCAAGGCTTACCCCACAGCATAATGCTTCCATCACCCTGTCTCACCATGGGCATAGAGCTTTTAATAGCCAGGCAGAGGTGGGCAGTAACTAGCTATATTTACTCAGTTGCATTTACTTCAAAAATACTTTTCGAAGTAGTTTTACTGAATCCTAATTTTTACTTTTGCTTTAGTAATATATCAGTAAAGTGATGCTACTCTTACTTGAGTAAAATGTTTGTCTATTCCAATGTGAGTAACCTTTTAAGTATTATTTCTCCAGACAATAACACACTGTTAATTTGTATGTCAAAATGAGATTTCCTTTTTTTCTGCACAAGGTTACTTTATATCTAATTAAAATGCTGTTATATTTGGAGGTCGAGTTAATATATTTTCACTGGAGGCAGTGTGTTGGTGCCATTTTCTATTTAGTAATTTAGGTTCATATTTAGTTATTTTTGGATATGTTCAGTATTTGCATATTATAGAATATTTCTGATTGCATTATAAATACGTTACTGCTTTACTATTTTCATAATTTCCTTTAGTTTTAATCTGCATTTGTAGTGCTAAGAATTATCTTTAATGGATAGCTGATAGGAATTGACGTTTAGCGATGACGTTGCAGAGCTGTGTGCTTTGTTCTGACTGGAAATAAAGACGTATCGTCGTTCAAATATCAACACGCGTGGACTCGTTCTTTCCATCTGACTGAGTGGTTATTTGCATTCATCATAAGAAACATTTAAGCACGGACATTTAGCCACTACACAGGGTTTATAAGGTTTAGGTTAAAAAGAAAATTGGTTTAAAAATGTGTTTCTACTGCCTTGGCTTCTTATTTTTTTAATAACAGCATTCATTTGTTTTAATTCTTAAAATATATACTTTAAATTATGAAAAAAAACTTCCATTTTGGTCTGTTTTTATAATATTAAACATTTACTCAGTACTTGAATTTGCTCTTTCTTGAGTACAATTTTTGGGCACTCTACCCACCTCTGCAACCAGCCGATATAGATTTTATTAAGGGGTGTCAGAGTAAAAGAAAAGAAATTAGAGTAGCTTGCACACTTTTCAGTTTTATATATTTGTGAACACTATTAGGGGGGAAAAAACGGCATAATTTTCCTTCAACTTTACGCTGATGCAGTGCTTTGTTTTCTAAGAGAGAAAGAAAATGAAATTATGTGAGTTTCACTCTAATTAAAGACTTTATATGTATTGTTTTCTCCAGAGGCGTAGACAGAAAATCCTAACAGGGGCCAAAAGGCACCAGAGCCTCAGGGTCAATCTACATTACACAAACTATACTTTCCGGCAGCCTTTGCTAACAAATAGACACATATATTTAAACGTCTATGCTGTGTAGATAAAAGGTATACAGGAAAAAATTGTTTCAGGTTTGAGTTCTGGGGCGAACATATTTCAATTGTCATTACCTACTTTTATCAATAATCATTCTGCAAAAAAAAAAAATTTAAATCTACTAATATCTACATTTAATACATAAAGTAGTTATTTATATATGATTGCAGTGAAGACTCCTAGATGACTTGCAGAGGCATAATTTTTATCTTTACCCCAAATAATTCAAAATTTAGTTCTGGAAAGAGCAGGAATTCTGTGTCTATCATCTTTAATCAATAGTGTAACTATTGGTAAGCATCGTATGCAGTTGCTTAGGGGCCCCTGACCTATTAGGAGCCCCGTCACTGACACCTGGTAGGCCCCCTACGCAATTGTGGACTAGGACGTCTCTTTGCAGATGTAATGGTACGAAAAATTCATCTTGATACTAGAATGACTCATCAGACCTCATTTATACCCCAACGCATGGCAGATTAAACACGACACCAATAGCAAAGCAGACAGCGGTACTTTTAATTAATATGTGACCATGCATAGTTCATTAGACGGTTGGTAATAAATACACTCCTACAATGTTTCAAACCGCAATAAAGATCTTAAAAGAAGATGTATTTGAGTATTAAATTTTTTACAATATGACTTGGAATTATGCGTACTCCAGAGCATCCATTAAAAACATAACCTTTATATACAATGTGTTAGTGACGATGGATACCAAAAAGAGCTGATGAAGGTTCTCAGTCATCCAGGTCATAGTCATTCCGTAAAAATTCAAAAAATATCCACTGGACTTGGTTTTCAAGATTTGAAGACGTTTCGCTACCTGCGGATCCAGACATTTGAATTGAGAAAGCTTCCTGGAGAGGTGGCGAAACGTCTTCAAATCTTGAAAACCAAGTCCAGTGGATATTTTTTGAATTTTTACGGAATACCAAAAAGAGGTACTGAAGCGGATTCCAGAAAAAGAAAAAGCAAAGAAGAGCTGCTGGAAGAACGGAGAAAACTTTCTAAAATAAACACATTCATACAAAGAACCAAAGAGGGAGAGGTGGACGTTGCTGCTGCTACAGAGAGTGAAGATTGCGACCAGGAGATGAAAGGAGAGAGCGTGGGTGAGGAGGGGGGCTGTGGGGTGTTGTACTTCATATGGGGCCCATCCAGATAATGTTGCTAATGGGCCTATTGTTGTGTCGTTACGCCATTGTCTTTAATGTTTGTATATTGATGTGCATAATTAACCGCAGGGTTTCTGTTGACAGGTAGTTGTTAATATATGAAAAATTTAAATGTTTAATAAGTTTGAACATTCCCCTTCTGAGTATTACTGCGGCCACAGTCTGTATTAGAGGGAAAAAATGGTAGGGGTTAAAGGGGAATGCCAGTTTTTTTTACATTGGGTCCTTGATTTTACATTATTTCATCATGTTCTACTCACCCATATGAGTTTCGTGTCATTTGGAACTGTTCTGAAGATACACTGTTAGTTTATATCCAAGTAACGTCTTCCTAGTTGAAGGCCAAACTAAACTGTTAATAATTTATTCTTTATGGTACGCCAGCATTCATAACATGTAGGCGAATCACTGTCCCCCACACATCCGTGGTTATATTTTTACATTTATATTTTTTTAAAACAAAGCGGAGTGTGTATGATGTCATCCGTGCGCGCCGGCTACTGTTTATTCATCCTGTCCGCTGAACTGCTGCTAGTTTTCCTCACATGCCTGGAAGATGTCTAGTGCTACTACCACAGATGATCTTGCTCATGAAATGGAATTGAACGATTTAGATTAGCTAGAATGAATAGAAGGGGTAGAGCGTAGCTGTCTGTGGCCCGGGCTGCCTGTCACAACTCTAGTCCGTTGCGCTGATGACGTCATACACGCTCCGCTTTGTTTAAAAAAATATAAATATAAAAGTTATAACCGCGAATGTCTGGGGGACAGTGATTCGCTTTCATGTTATGAATGCTGGCGTACCATCAATGATAAATTATGAACAGTTTAGTTTGTGCTTTCAAGTCGATTGCCCATAGGAAGACGTTACTTGGATATAACCTAACAGAACATGATGTGATAATGTAAAATCAAGGGCCCAATGTAAAAAAAAAAACTGCCGTTCCCCTTTATCCCTTACCATTTTTCCCCTCTTGTGCCTTCAAGTCGTTGCCCATAGGAAGACGTTACTAACAAAACCGAATATCTTCAGAACAGTTCCAAATGACACAAAACTCACATGGGTGAGTAGAACATGTGTTATAATGTAAAATCAAGGGCTCAATGTAAAAAACACAAAAAAAAAAAAAACAGTGTTCCCCTCTAACCGCAGTGTTTCTGTTGTCAAGTAGTTGTTAATATATGAAATATTTAAATATTTAATAAGTTTGAACAGTCTCCTTCAGAGTATTACTGCGGCCACTGTCTGTATTAGAGGGGAAAAATGGTAGCGGTGGCCCCCCCTGGCCCCCCATCTAGCTCCGCCCCTGGTTTCCCCCTTAAAGTGGATATTATGAATTTAGAATAAGAGGCCCCTGCAGCAGTATAAGGAAATCAAGCAGAAAGGAGCTGGGTGAGAGAGAACAGTAACAGTAGGCGGGCCCCCAGGGAGCCGCTTTGGGGAAGAGGTTACTGTACACCACTGACAGGCTGCAGGTTAATTCTTGTTAACTCTGCCCACCATGTGACTGTAGATAAGTGATACCAGAGAAGCTCTCAGACATTATTCCTCTATGAATGTTTTCTATCATTGAAAGAGGCTGAAGGTTTGGCAGAAAACTGCTGGAGATGTTTTGGTTCGAGCAGGGGCTCTGCTTCCTGCCCGTGTTTCTGGTCGTCTGGTCCTCCTGCACCTTCATCGTCCCTTACATTATTGCGCTCTTTAGAGGCGATGTGGACATCATCTTCCCCTATATAAGGTGAGTTGATTTCATCACATTTAAGAGAACAAAACTTTAAACTTTTTTTTTCCTCCATACTGTGATTTTGAGTCAAGCGCTTTAGTTTCGTTTTCCTGCGCTGCACGTAGACCCAATTTCATTCCTAACCGATTCTTGTCTATGACTTTACTTTAAAGTTAAAATCCTAGTTAGAAGGAAAATAAACTTTAAAAAAAAAAGTATTATGGACTAAAATGTATAAACTGAAAGCTTTTAAGGACAATAAACAATTAGAATAAGAAATCCTTCTATTGTCCCACAATGGGGAAAGTAAATATAGTCACTTAATTATTATTTTAGACTTTTAGAATATTTATATTCTCTCCTAATTTTTCCTATAAGCAGATTTAACTGTATTTAAACCTTACAAATTGTTCAAACTATTTAACAAATCCAGTAATGAAGGAAATCTTCAGCATTTCAATGGGAAGGAAATTATGTAAAAATCTGACAAAAAGCATGGATGCTTAGAAATGTTTATATTGATGCACTAAAGGAAACTCCACTACAATTCATCGCTTTAGGTGGCTGTGTTTGATTTTATATCAGCATGTAAAGTGTTCTGCGAAGGCCTTTTTAAGCTTTTCTTAATAAACACTATTGATTAAGTATGTATGAACAGCATCGCCATGGTGGTGGAAGCATGATGCTGTGGAGATGCTGTTCTACACCATATGAAGGGTTTATTTTACAGACTAAAAAATTACCCGGAGCATAAATCCATAATTTAATTAATTTAAAAAAATTAAAGAAAATTCTTATAGAATGGTCTAGTCAAAGTCCTATTATCTATCCAATTAAGTGTTTTCAGATGCACTCCAGTTGAGTTTTACTGCTAGTTGCTTTTGTTTAAGAGTTAATAGACATGAATGGAAAGAAAGAGGAGGGGGTTATATACACTATATTGCCAAAAGTATTTGCTCACCCATCCAAATTATTGGAATCAGGTGTTCCAATCACTTCCATGGCCACAGGTGTATAAATTCAAGCACCTAGGCATGCAGACTGTTTTTACAAACATTTGTGAAAGAATGGGTCGCTCTCAGGAGCTCAGTGAATTCCAGCGTGGAACTGTGATAGGATGCCACCTGTGCAACAAATCCAGTCGTGAAATTTCCTCGCTCCTAAATATTCCACAGTCAACTGTCAGCTGTATTATAAGAAAATGGAAGTGTTTGGGAACGACAGCAACTCAGCCACGAAGTGGTAGGCCACGTAAACTGACGGAGCGGGGTCAGCGGATGCTGACGCGCATAGTGCGAAGAGGTCGCCAACTTTCTGCAGAGTCAATCACTACAGACCTCCAAACTTCATGTGGCCTTCAGATTAGCTCAAGAACAGTGCGCAGAGAGCTTCATGGAATGGGTTTCCATGGTCGAGCAGCTGCATCCAAGCCATACATCACCAAGTGCAATGCAAAGCGTCGGATGCGGTGGTGTAAAGCACGCCGCCACTGGACTCTAGAGCAGTGGAGACGCGTTCTCTGGAGTGACGAATCGCGCTTCTCCATCTGGCAATCTGATGGACGGGTCTGGGTTTGGCGGTTGCCAGGAGAACGGTACTTGTCTGACTGCATTGTGCCAAGTGTAAAGTTTGGTGGAGGGGGGATTATGGTGTGGGGTTGTTTTTCAGGAGCTGGGCTTGGCCCCTTAGTTCCAGTGAAAGGAACTCTGAATGCTTCAGCATACCAAGACATTTTGGACAATTCCATGCTCCCAACTTTGTGGGAACAGTTTGGAGCTGGCCCCTTCCTCTTCCAACATGACTGTGCACCAGTGCACAAAGCAAGGTCCATAAAGACATGGATGACAGAGTCTGGTGTGGATGAACTTGACTGGCCTGCACAGAGTCCTGACCTCAACCCGATAGAACACCTTTGGGATGAATTAGAGCGGAGACTGAGAGCCAGGCCTTCTCGTCCAACATCAGTGTGCGACCCCACAAATGCGCTTCTGGAAGAATGGTCAAAAATTCCCATAAACACACTCCTAAACCTTGTGGACAGCCTTCCCAGAAGAGTTGAAGCTGTTCTAGCTGCAAAGGGTGGACCGACGTCATATTGAACCCTATGGATTAGGAACGGGATGTCACTTAAGCTCATATGTGAGTCAAGGCAGGTGAGCAAATACTTTTGGCAATATAGTGTATTATATTAAGGTCAAAAATCAAAGCCAGGGTTGTTGCTTTGTTGAGTGTGGTCTCTGTATATGGAGCACACAGCGCCCCCTAGAGATCCTTTCTTTTCTTTTGGCTAAACTTTATCTATTTGCAAAGAATGGACAGAAATGTTTTAAATGTGCAAAGCTGGCAAATCTTAAAAAAAAGACCTGCAGGGTGTATGAATACAAATAGGGCATGTCGATTTTGTGCTGGTTATTTAAATTAAATCAGTTTTAAGTATTCTTGCAAAACATTATTTATTTTTTTCTCAGTGACACGGGGGCAAATCCACCCGAAAGCTGCATTTTTGGCCTGATGACCTTCATTTCTGCATGTGCAGGTATTTTCCTTTTTGAATTACATAACATCTGCTTTGATTACGTAACTCTGGGTTCTTACAAGCGAGCAAACAAGCTTTCCAACGATATTACGCACGTTTCCCAATTTCGTTAAGATACATAGAGTAAGCCTCATGTGTAAAATTGTTTTTTTATGACTTTGTGGTAAACTAACTGTGACCTTTGCACAGGAATTGCCACCATATATGCCAGATATAAGTATATGGAGAAGCTGAATGAGCGGAATAGCCTTGTGAAACCATGCCTTAATAAAACAACACTCTGTTTGGGGATTATTGCCTGCTTCGGGATGTGCATAGTTGCTTCTTTTCAGGTAATTCACCTCCTTTTATATGTTTATATATCACTGAATACTCCAATGTAATGTTAAATTATGGTTTTCATTCTTTTTCCCTGCAGGAAACATCAGTCACATCAGTCCACGATGTAGGAGCGCTGTTATTTTTCATTTCTGGAGTTGTTTACATTATGCTGCAATCTGTAATATCATTCCAAGCATGTCCGTACGGGTCGTCCATCTGTATGAGTCGAGTCCGTTTGCTGATCTCACTCATCGCTGCACTTGCATTTTTTCCCAGTATCCTTTTACAAAGAACATATGCTTCTTATTTGCATGACCTGCATTTGTGTTATTATTAGCTGAGACTCGACTCTGAAAAGTGGAAATTTCCTTTAACCAGCAACTAAGCTTTGATCTGTGCAGTTATTGTTAAAAAAACAACCCTCCACTGGCACACATCTGATAAGGTAAGCAGAGAGATTTTTACATCATAAACATTCAGTCGCTGCTAGAATGAAAGGAAGATCTCTCCCATAAGCACTTAATGCCGCCTCATGTGAGAAACGTGGTTTGGAAGTGCTAAGAGGAATTGAAATCTTTAGCCTAAGTAAAGGATTCTGTACATTTACCGTAAAAAATGGTGCCAACTGGGGCTGCAACACATTGGAAAAACAAACACCTGGAATATTATGACATGGATATCAATTGTGATTAACTCCTTTTGTTCTCTCATTTGCGTCTTTCTCTTCATCATGTTGTCCTCTCTAATCTCACTAAAACTAGAGCATGTATGGGCAACAAGGGCGGTCCACTTCTGCCCGAATTCCTAAATAGATTATAGGAAATTACCCCAAATGTTGCACCAAATCAGTCTTTTGCAATTGCCACATTGCGCATATTTATACTGCTGTGTTATTTACGAAATAATATTTTGTGCAACTCTACTAACGTTTTTGTGTTGAACATGCATCTATTTTAAGGTAAAAAAAAATGCTACTTGGCTTTTTAAAATACATATTAAATTACAACTAAGGAAAAATGCATCTAATTCTCACAGACCAGCAATGTTTGTGAACATTTTATTAGAAAATAGTGTGTTTTTCTGGTTTCATTAGATTCTGCTAGATTCTTGAGTCAATTTGAAGCACACATATGGTTGTATTCTAAGCCAACACCTCAAAAATGCTTCCTCCTTTCATGAAACCGTGGAAAATCGGCCAGTGTATCAGGAGGGGAAGCATGAACCACAGACATGCCAGGTTCAGCCACAATTTACGAGAATCTGCAGGTGTCACATTCATTTGGTGAAAGATTTTTAGAAATACCGTTCGAACGTCCTTCCCTTGAGACATTTAGAAAGGAGATGGTTCTCTGTCCCTGAGAGGACATGTTGTCTTGAAAAATATTTCTATCGACTCCAAAACGGTCTGACTAAAACAAAAGTATTCAAATGTTCTGAAGGTTGATTTCAGAGACTAGGATTAAGTGTCTAATCTTTGGCGCAGCATCCTATAGCGAAAGGATTCCTACCTTAAAACATCTTGAAGAATCAACTAAATACAAAAAATGTAGAGAACCATAAATCATCACAAATAATAAGAACAGAAAATTGAAGCTTGTAAGACCAAGAACCCTTTCCTAAGATTGATGTATGGAGGTGGCTGCATCATTATGAGGGAATGCTTCTATCTACAAAAACAATGTCATATTAAGGAAATAACTAAATGTGAAAGCATTGAATCAACATCAGCAAGACTTTGCTTTGTGTATTGCTTGATTAGTTGTCTTACAATATAAGGGTCTGGTCAGGTGTTATAACTATAACATACCAAATTTATTTATAAAGCACTTTAAACACCCAAACAGGACCAAAGTGCTGCACACAATCATAAAATACAAATAATCAATGATGAAGACAATAAATAAAGTGGTGTATAAAAGTAGTAATAAAATAAAAAGCGATAATAAAATAATAAAAAATCACAGTAAGACAAAGTCAGCATCTCAGATTGTCTTAAAAGACACAGAAAAGAAATGGGTCTTATGAAGAGATTTAAAATCAGAAAGTGAAATGGCCTCCTTAACGGGCGAGGGAAGGTCGTTCCACAGCTTATGGGCGAGAGGGTGTGTAGTGATGAAGCAGCTGAGACAGGAAGGGTGGGGCAAGACCATTAACCCTTTGCAGTACTTTAAAAATTAAAATATCAAGCCAAGAGTGTTATTGGAGGACAGGAAAAGACCTTATTACTTTGTAACAGTCAAAAAATATGTATATTTTAATTATGGCAAAAATTAAGGGTAATGTTATAACTAGAAACGCCAACTTGCCCTAATATATTTAGCAAAAAACACAAGTGCCTCTATAACAAATTAATGGAAAACATTTACAGAGTGAAAAATACTTTTTTTGTTACATCATAACCTTAGAGTATTAATGCTGATACAAGCACTTACATTTTTTACTTTTGTTGCTTAGCTTCTTAACTTTTTTTTTTTTTCCGTCAGTTAATTTACAGTAAGAAGTACAGTACGTCTCACCTTAACCCTATAATGTCAAATGTATCGTATTTGATACATACGGTTTCTAAAATGTTTTGCATCTGACACCTTTTGTATAATTTAATGGTAAAAACTTTGCTCAAAATCCTATTGTACACAATCAGATATACCTGAAAACAGCCAGTAGAAGACTACACAAAAAATAATCTTGACTTATCGCATAGTAATAAATTATTAATATCAAAAATGTATTTCTGTTTTTTCTTTTTATATATTTTGTTAAAAGGGCAAATAAGGAATTCAAACCAAAAAAAAGTAATTTTCTGTTTCGTTTTATTATTGGATCAGGCTTTAAAGGGTTAATGGTCAAATGCAAAAATAAGATATACGGCCACGTAGCAGTAGCTTTGCTGAATGGCTGGATATAAATCATGTGCTTCTAGACTTTACTCAGTGATGGGGGGGACTAAGGGGTATACAAGTGGTCAAAAACCTGCCCTGTGTTTAAAGGGTTAAGAGCTTTAAAAGCAAATAAAAGGGTTTTAAATCAATCCTAAAATATGCAGGCAGCCAATGTAATGAGGCTAAAATATAGCCTCGTGAGACCATCCTGATCTCGCGAGCTTTCAAGGTTTCATTCGCAAATCAGTCTGGAGACTCTCCGTTAAAGAAAATTTGGAGCCGTTCACCAAACGAACGTCCAATCAGCGTTGGCTTTGAGGCGGGTTGAGGTGTGACGCAATGAGAAGCGCGACAGTTCAGTTTAAAGAACATGGCGGCTTCAGCTGATGAAACTAGCGTTAGCGTGGCTATCGAGCAAGTTTTATCGGAATTACACTGTATTTCTTCACTGGTAGAAGAGAAAACACTGCTCTGGAGGCTTTTCTCAGAGGAAAAGATGTTTTTGCTCTTCTCCCGACTGGTTTCGGCAAGAGTTTGATCTATCAATTGGCTCCTCTTCGTCGTCGCTCTGTTAGTACGTCATATGCTTCGTTGATCTGATTGGTTTATTTGGCCCATCTATCACCAACATAGGCCAATCAGCTAACCAGTATTTTCGCACCTTCCTAAAATTACTTCAACGGGAGGTTTCCAGATGGATATGCGGAGCAAATCCATCTGGCGGAGTCAGGTTAGCTAAAATAGGGGAAATTATTAAATTTGCTTTTCCCCGTTTAAAGATGTGCAGCAGCATTCTGTGCACTCTGAAGCTGGGCGAAGAAAGCATGAATCACCGATACCCTAGTAAAGTGCATTACATTGAACCAGCCAAGTGGTTACAAAGGCATAGGCCATTGTTTTAAAATGCTGATGTGAAAGGATAGGTCTAACCTTTGCAAGCTGCCTTCAAGTGAAATAAGCTGGATTTTACAACACCTCTAATAAGAGATTCAAACTTTAGGCCAGAATCTGTTTTAAACCGCTAAATTTGTAATAACAGGCCTGACACCCTGGGCCAAAGATCTGTTATCCCTCAGGGAGTCTTCACTGGAACTACAAAAAAATTACCACCTCTGTTTTTTCTTCATTGAGTTTTAAGAAATTTAGGGACATCCAGGATTTCAAGTCTTCCAAGCTTAAAAGCAGAGTAACCTCACTTGTCTTCGGCCTCTGCTTTTATGTTTGGAAAGATAACTTAATTTATAGATTAATAATAAGTGTAGTGTAACCTGGCTCCGCATATCCATCTAGAAACCTTCCGTTTAAGTAATTTTGGGAAGGGGCCTAAATACTGGTTGGCTGATTGGCCTATGTTGGTGATAGACGGGCCAAATAAACCAACCAGATCAACGAAGCATATGATGTACTAACGGAGCGACGACGAAAACACAACCACAAGCCAGGCTACTCTTGCCGAAACCAGTCGGGAGAAGAGCAGAAACATCTTTTCCTCTGAGAAAAGCCTCCAGAGCAGTGTTTTGCTCTTCTTTCAGTGAAGAAATACTCTGTAATTCCGATAAAACTTGCTCGATAGCCACGCTAACGCTAGTTTCATCGGCTGAAGCCTCCATGTTCTTTAGACTGAACTGTCGCTCTTCTCGTTGCGTCACACCTCAACCCGCCTCAAAGCCAACGCTGATTGGACATTCGTTTGGTGAACGGCTCCAGACTGATTAGTGAGTGAAATCTTGAAAGCTTGCACGATCAGGATGGTCTCACGAGGCTAAGTGTAGTGGCGATTGTTTGTCAAACCAAACATCCAATAAAGTTCCAATAAGCCACTATTTAGGCGCTGGGGTCACGTTTTCTTGACGCAGGCAAAAGAAGTTGAAGTCCAAACTTGTAGATGTTCAGTTGATTTATTTCCTATATTTTTGCAACATTACAGAGTTCAAACATTCCTTGCTCTGTCACCTCTCTTGCGCTGGTAAAAACCCATAGGCCCCTAACCCAAATGGCTGCTGGTCCTTACCAGGCTCCTACAATTATAGAAAGTGGACCGCCCACATTTCTTCCTGTTTTACATAAAATAAAGAAAGAAAAAATTATAAAACAACAAAAATCGATCTATTTTACTTTCAAAATCTCGTGAAATTTCATCATTCTGTTAAAAACTCTCATGATATTTTGCAAATTCTTGTGAGATTTTGTTAGTAAAATAGATCGATACCGCGTCAATATATCAACATATAAAAATATGGCAACATTTCGTGGGATTTCGTAGCATAACGATGACATATAGCAATATTTCATTAGTAAAAGAGATTGATATGGTGTTTTTAAATGGCAATATATCAGCATATGAAGATATTGTGATATTTTAATGTATCAATATTTTTCCCTCGTCTTTAGAAGTTTCTAAGTCTGTAAAAAAGAAGTTTTTGAGGAAGAAGTAGTATTTTTTTTTTTTAGACTTTAGAAACTCAGAAGCTGATCAAATATCAGGTTAAATATCGGTGGGGTGGCCGATGTCCGATATTCAGTTTTAAGGCTGATACAGGCCGATACCGATAGGGGGCCGATTATATTGTGCATCCCTACAATTCACCTATAAATAAAGTCTATAAATTATACAAAAAATATATAAGTTTAGGAATTAACACAATTCAAATGGATAAATAGCTCCAACAATAAGAGCAGGGTACCAATGACCTCTTGTAAAAAGAGATAATAATAATAATAATCAGGATATTGAAATGTCTAATTAGATGTTATTTTTATATTCAAGTGAGTCTGTTAAGTTATCTGAAAGTTATCCACTTCCAATCTTTCGGGCGTCATTTTTTTTGTTAAAAACATCTACCCAAATCCGTAGTTTCAATATTTCTGTTTGTCACTCAGTGGGATGAAAACTTCTTCCTGTCAGCTCTGTTGCTGCTATTTGTGGCAGGAAGTCGTGTTTCTTTTGACTGTGAAGTGTAAACAGCCTGGCTTGGGCCCAGAAAGCCTGCAGATAGATTCAGCTGTTCAACTTGATGAACATGTTTGACTCGACTTAAAGACCGTTCTGGAAAATGTATTTATTAAAACCAGCTGGAATGTTTTTTGTTTCTTTTTGTTTTGTTTGACAGCCTGATCGTTTATGTTAACTGTGCGGTTTAACGTTCTGATTCTGCTTCCAAAACATGGAGTTAATACCTTATGTTGCAATATGTAATGGATGCTAATGGGTCCAGAACAGTTTATGGTTTTTATACACAAACAAGAAATGTTTGTTTAAAATATGGATCAGTATGTCATTAATTCACCAAATCCAGATACTTCTGTGTTTATTTACTTTGTTTATCTGCTTCTATTGTTCAGGACTATCCCTACCACTTAACCAGTGCCATATGTGAATGGATCGTCGCCTTCAGCTTCATCTGCTTCTTCCTCACATATATTGAGGATTTCAAAGTGAGTATAACATCCCATCAATAAGGGGTGTTTCTTCACCTTTTTTAACTGTTTATTATTTTTTCTAAAAACATGTTTTCTTTGTTTCCTGCAGATGTTTAAGTTGCAAGTGAGGACAGAATATGAGGACTAGATGATCACTATCACTGGGATGAATTTCAATATTTTGTGTAATTCTGCTTTTATTGCACTCGATGGCTTTTTATACTCAAATTGTTTCACAAATTATTTTTTTATACCTTAAATTATGGATGCATTAGCTGTATGATCGTTTTTTAAATCTTTTTATACAAACATTTTAAATACGTTCGAAAAATTTTTTTTCCCATTGTTTAAGCATCACTTTGCACGTTGACTGTTGCCATACCATTGTGACACATCCTGTGAGACCTTTGACCACTAAAGAGAAGTTCATCACACAAAACACATGACAGTGCATGAGGGAGGAGAAAATACAGCTAAAAACGATACTAACCACTTTTTGCAAATACGTTTTTTTACACATTAGCCTTCTTCACACTTGGAGGATAGTGTCAAAGATATGTGTAAAAGGCTTGGAGTAATGTTAACTTTTGTTGCAGTAGCACATTTGCACCCTGAAAGGGTTGCTTCATCTGCATTTCAATTTACTGGCTGTATGTGGGCAAGTTCAGGCAAGTATTAACTTACTGTTTTTCCTATTGGAAACTTTGTTTTGTTGTCTTTTCCATTTTGAGAAGCAGGTAATTGAAAGGGTTTTTTTGTGTCACGTTAAATGCATACCCCAAGAAAACAGGAAGTCATGGGGCACTAAGCCTACGTTCACACAGCAGCCGGAAGTGACCCGAATCCGATTTTTTTGCCCATATGCGACCTGTATCTGATCTTTTCGTGGCAGTCTGAACAGCAACGATCTGATTTTTTCCAATGTGACCCAGGCCACTTGGCTATGTGGTCCTGAATCCGAAACGTATCTGATCTTTTAAAATGCCACCTGTGACTGAACGACCAGGTCGCATTCATCCGACCTGAAAATCGTTAATAATCAACAAAGGTCACTATTCTGCGCCTTGTTACACAGAAGCGGGAAGACAAACAACAAATATGGTGGACGATAATGCAGAGTGCAGTATTTATTTTTAACCATCTGGAAAAGATTGAATTTTTAAGTTTGGGAAAGATCGCTAGATGAGTTCCAGATGTGCTCTGTGTTTGATGCCGTAAACACAGAGCATCCCATACAAATCGCATATATGTGGAAATGTGAACAGCAATTCACAAAAAAATCAGAATTGAGCATTAAGGCCTGCAGTGTGAATGTAGCCTTAGTTAGAGGCGATGTTCTAATCCCGGTTAGAAGGACAGGTACGCTGCATCCTTTGTAGCTTACACTATCCCATGATTCATTGCGAGTCCATACAATCCGGCTGCTCCGTGCTCAGAGGAAAAAAAGAAATGGTGACAAAAAGTGGTGAATATTCTAAAGGCAGCTCTATATAATACAAGTATGAATGAATAATTTTGTCTTAAATAAATGAGAATTGTTTTGTTCAAATGATTATTGAGTCAGATATGTGGCGGGTAATGTTCTGTTAATTGAAAGGTTTTATCTGTCCCTGTGCAAATGGGTTTGCCTGACAATGAAGCACAGATTCCAGTATCTCTGCAGTGTAGGGGCTATGAATCTGATATCTGCGATGACAGAACTGCTGCTGAAGCTCCTCAGAAATGAAATTGGCACACAGACCAGTAGTAAGAAGTTTGACATCCATTCTTTGCCTGCTTTGTGAGTCAACTGTCACTGTTGCTAAGCAACAGAGCGTCGCTGTGTTAGGGGCGGTAACAGTCAGATAAGGCTGTTTGAATCTATAGCCAAACTCTTCTGGCCTCCTTTTTTCCCATGGCCTTTGAAGGACCCAGTCCAGTTAAGCTGGTTCCGAACTCAGCCAAAGTGTGTAGATACATTTATGTTTACGTTTTTAATGTATACTTCTCAGTAGTGCCAAAGATTTCGGAGGGTTTCTGTGAACAAAACCCAGACATGTAGATGGACTGTGTGTAAAAAGACATATTACGCCGTTTTCCTCCCTATCTGACATTAGATCAGACGAAAAGTTTACTGTTTTAGGTCAGTTAAGACAAAAAAAAATAGTTTGTACTTGCTGAACGGCAGAATACTGCGGGACAGATTTTTGATCAATTCCTGAAATTCAGAAGTTTACATATGCCTCTATGCCTTACTATTGCTTTAAACAGTAAAGCCCAATCAGCTTTTAATCAGGGTTTATTTACAAAATTTAAATTATTTGTTTACCTGTTTTCTAGCTTATAGTTATAGCATGCAGAATTATTACATATGCTTAATTGAGAATTTTGTAATATATATATATATATATATATATATATATATATTATTTAGAGAAGGTTACATTACCCAATCCAAGCAAGCTATTACACTTCAAATAAAACAAAATAACCTAAAGTCAATATTGTTTGTCATGTTTTAAGAAATCTGTGCCTTTAGATTGTTGATCTGCAGCAACACGAAGTGAGCGATGTCCAGTGTACACCTAAAGCAGTCCAGTTTTTGACCTTAAGTGTTTTTCTACAATTCAAGTTAAGATTAATTATATCTCTTCCTTTACAGTATTTCAGACGTGTTCTCTGAACAAAACTCACTTTCACTACAAATGTTTTTACAAGAGGAAATGTATATTTAGCAAACTAACATACTTTTTGCTTTTGATTTAATGTACTGTTATGATTATTTTAAACATGAATAATAAACTGCACTTTTTGTATCAATACCTTTGTCTTTATTGAAGATTAAAAGAAAGACAGATTTCGAATTTACATGATTTTTCTGTTAAAACTTTACAACTAGTGTTTGGAAAGTGCGGAGAGTAACTGTGAATTTGTCACCTGGACAGAATGGCTTAACCATCCTCACCTGCAGACAAAATATCTAATTTATCTTATTTTAAGGGTAGAAATGCTCCTTCCATTGGCAGATCATCGTATTTTCCTACTCAAATTTAAGGGTAAATACACTTGTTTAAAGACATTTTTACTAATTTTCAGAATGTTTTTGCAGTGCAAAACTGAGCAATTGTCAGTGGTGGCAGATTTTGGGTCGGCTATGTAAAACTTAAAAGATCTGATTTCAATTTTAGAGACCAAACTTGATTAAATCTCCTCGACTGTCGAATTTAATTACGCTTTTTCATTATTGTCTTTCCTCTATTGTTTCTCTTTTTATTTCTTGTTTTATAATCTTTCTCGAGGAAGTGAAATCACTGCTTTGTTCGGACTGCTATATTGCAGTGCCCTACTTGATCACCTTATTCCAAATGTTGGAATTAATCCTGTGAAGTAGAGGTCTATTTATATGTAAATTATGCTTTCCTGAGAATTAATAAAGGTGAAAAAAAAAACCTGAGTTAACTAATCAGATCATGAGCAGTACTCCAGCAGGGTTCCTACAGCATAAGGCAAGTTAAATTCAAGACTTTTTAATGCCACTTGAAATAAAAATTTAAGACCAAATTCACAAGAAACACAAGAAAAACCCGTTTGGGACAACCCAAAGGTTTATTTTAACATAAACCACTGCACTAATGTTTCAAATTTTGAAAAGCTTCCCATACAGGAAGAAAGCTAAAAACACACAAATGACAGATATATTTTAACAATTATTTAACTGAATTCATAAACTTTGTTTTGCAGAGACAAGGGTGGAACTAAACTGAGAAATACCGGCTGTTTCTCGGTAACTCGATTTTGACGCTTTGTGTTTCGCGCTTCGCATGTGCGACTCCATTGCCTTAATTCCCATCGTTCCGAGTTTGAATGACTTCTTGCACAAAATCCACTGAGCCTCATGTATGTTCCCTGGTTTTAGCCATGGAGAAAACTCTTGGCTTGATAGCCAATTTTTGTTAAATGTACACTTGCTAATATTTTCCAGACAAAAAGTTAATGGTGCATCTCCCAAATGTCCCGGCCGCAACAACGCTTTTATTGGTTCCGCCATCGGGACGGAACCAATAATGGCGAGCATGAAAAAAAATAATAAATTGTCAATGTTGACGTTTTATTTAGATTCCAAAAATAAATCGTGATAAAAATATTCCTATTTATGATGTTTTAAAAATTAAGACCTACAAAATACTGATTTAAGACATTTTAATACCAATTAAGGCCTCATTTTTATTTTGAAGAATTCAATGCCTTTTAAGACTTTTTAAGGCAGAAACAGGCTCTACCCAAATACCTCTAATCAGTAAAGACACATAACCAACGGTGGAAGTGTGTCCAGGTTCCTGCATTGGTGCAGGGAAGCTGCACCAATGCAGTTAGCGTAAGGACTCCCTGACATCCCTTGCCACTGCTAGGAGTTATATTGTTGCCCACAATCCTTTGCATAACAGAGCACAGGCACATCCCACCTCATGGGGTTTAACAAAACACTAAATCGTGCAATCGGTGAGACACTTGCTTATGTGCACACATAGCTTTGGCTTTTATAATGGAGAGCTTCAGCCGTCCTCAACATTTCTGTAATTTCTGTTTGTGTAAAGGCTGGAGTGCCAATTTTACAAGCATCATTAATGCATGTGTCCATCGAGTATTGAGTTCAGTAAGGCTGAATGTTGTCCAGATTCGGCACAGCAGTCCGGAGCTTCTTTCCTACTTTGGGCCCTGCTAAAGATGAAGAGATAGGAACTAGGAACAGGAGGTAGGAGCTAAAATTTGAGTTTTTCGGTTCAAACCCCAGTCTGCAGATGTGACTCTGCAGATCAAGTCTTGTGTAGTGGGTGACAGGTTTCTACTTTAAAATACCAGGCTAGATAAGCTGTTCATATATTTTTTATTTTCTGTTATTTCTTTAGTGGAAGTCCATTTCCTTGGCTGTGACTAATCGTAACAAACTAACTTAAGGACACTGAGACTGCCATAGAAGGGCTTTCTGATATTATGGTTCCTATGAAAGAAAAAGAAAAAAGAAATTACAGCAATTATTTTAAAAAATACCTTAACTTTACGGTCAAGTTAAGGTATTTTTAAAATAACTTAACAGGAAGGGATAGGTTGGAAGAATCTAAGGGCCCTTGACTGAGGGGGGCCCCAAAAGAAGAAGAGAAGATATGTCCCGCTACACATTTCAAATTTAAAAAGATTCAGCAGAAAAATTTCAAATATAAAAAGCAAATCAAGCAGTTTGTCATGATGGGTCTAATGTGTTTGACCCACATGCAGAAGCACTCACAGATACGGGAAAAAGTTTACCAGTTTTTTGAAGGGTTTCTGTACAGAGAATAGGAGAAAACTATTCGTCAGCTTGGGGAGGTTCCTGCGATCAGGTGAACCAGAAGCTCTAGGAGTAGTTCAGAGTGGTGAGTTCAGTGTCTGAATACTAGGTAACTTAGACTCACTGTGGTTGTTAGTGAGGGTTTCTGAGTTCCTGTTTGTAGAGGCTTGGTCTGTAGAAGGTTTAGTTTGTTGGAGGGTGGACTGGCAGACTATGAAGATTTTGAGGAGCAGCTGAGCAGACTGACACTTGGTTCCTGAAGTGCTTGCCGTTCAGATGAGGAGATTTTTCTCCTATTCTCAGTGTGACAAGTGTGTCCCTTCCAAGACCTGAAGGACCTGCTTATACAGTGGATCTGGGAAATCTGGTTTGCGCTGAAAGAGCTCAGAAGAAACTTGGACTCAAAATAGACTCTGCAAACTCGGAGGGGCTAGAGTACCCAATACTGACAAACACTCTAGTGAGGAAGTGAAGACAGTCTGCTCCTTTAATACTCCTCAGTAAGTGATGACCCAATAGGCTGCAGGTGTGAGGTGAGAAGAACAGGAAAGCCTCCAGGCTAGCAGAGGACAATGGCACCATCTGGTGGGTTGCACAGTGGAACTGCAAAAGAATATAACAAGCCCCACAAACTGGAACCCTAACACAGTTAAAAATTTTATCTTTGTGTTCGACCCTCATTTTCTAGAAGTAAACAGCAAAATAATGCATAAATATATTGAATTAAAATCTGTGCGTTTTTTGCTTTAAGCCGCTGTTGAAGATTTTTAATGAGGGCGATGCAGTCGGCATCACTGCTGCATAGCAGCAAGAGCTAGGCTCTGGGTTTGATTCCTAGCCCGATGTCTTTATTTTCTCCCCCAGTGTGCGGGGTGGGGGGGTGGGGGCGGGGGGGACAATATAGTCTGTCAAGGATTCACCGTGCATGCTACAGGAAACGTGCATTCTCGCTAACGGTACGTAACAGCCGCTCTGTGCTCGCGCCACAGGGGAACTACGGAGAGCGTCAACGATCAAATGATAGCCTATATGGAGAA